AGGTGTTTAGAGGGTTTATGGGTTTCAATTGTTATTGGTTTAGTGGTTTAGAGGGTTAGGAGTTTAGAAGTTTATAAGGTTATGGGTTTATGGGTTAAGAACTTTCGGGGTATTTTAGGGATGAGTGATTTAGAGATTTAGGGATTTCGAGGGTTACAGGGTTTAGGGGTTGAGAGTGTTAGTGGTTGAGGGGATTCGAGGGTTAGGGGTTTAGAGGGTTCGGATTTTAAGAGAAAAGGGATTTAGAGGGTTAGATGTTTAAAGGATTCGGCTATTAGGGGTATAGGGGATTAGAGGGTGAGGGGGTTACAGTGAGGGAAAAAAGTATTTGATCCTCTGCTGATTTTGTACGTTTGCCCACTGACAAAGAAATGATCAGTCTATAATTTTAATGGTAGGTTTATTTGAACAGTGAGAGACAGAATAATGACAAAATCCAGAAAAACGCATGTCAAAAATGTTATAAATTGATTTGCATTTTAATGAGGGAAATAAATATTTGACCCCCTCTCAATTAGAAAGTTTTCTGGCTCCCAGGTGTCTTTTATACAGGTAACGAGCTGAGATTAGGAGCACACTCTTAAAGGGAGTGCTCCTAATCTCAGTTTGTTACCTGTATAAAAGACACCTGTCCACAAGCAATCAATCAGATTCCAAACTCTCCACCATGGCCAAGACCAAAGAGCTCTCCAAGGATGTCAGGGACAAGATTGTAGACCTATACAAGGCTGGAATGGGCTACAAGACCATTGTCAAGCAGCTTGGTGAGAAGGTGACAACAGTTGGTGCGATTATTCGCAAATGGAAGAAACACAAAAGAACTGTCAATCTCCCTCGGTCTAGAATATACACTACACTATACACTACATTATACACTACACTATACACTACACTAGACACTACACTGTACACTACATTATACACTACACTATACACTACACTATACACTACACTATACACTACATTATACACTACACTATACACTACACTACACACTACACTATACACTAGAATATACACTACACTATACACTAGACTATACACTACACTATACACTACACTATACACTACACTAGACACTACACTATACACTACATTAGTATACACTACACTATACACTAGACTCTATTGTATAGTGTAGTGTATAGTGTAGTGTATATTAATGTAGTGTATACTAATGTAGGGTATAGTAGTGTAGTGTATAGTGTAGTGTATACTAATGTAGTGTATACTAATGTAGTGTATACTAATGTAGGGTATAGTAGTGTAGTGTATAGTGTAGTGTATACTAATGTAGTGTATACTAATGTAGGGTATAGTAGTGTAGTGTATAGTGTAGTGTATACTAATGTAGTGTATACTAATGTAGGGTACAGTAGTGTAGTGTATAGTGTAGTGTATACTAATGTAGTGTATACTAATGTAGGGTACAGTAGTGTAGTGTATACTAATGTAGTATATACTAATGTAGGGTATACTAATGTAGTGTATAGTGTAGTGTATACTAATGTAGTGTATACTAATGTAGTGTACAGTAGTGTAGTGTATAGTGTAGTGTATAGTGTAGTGTATACTAATGTAGTGTATAGTAGTGTAGTGTATAGTGTAGTGTATACTAATGTAGTGTATAGTGTAGTGTATAGTGTAGTGTATACTAATGTAGTTTATAGTGTAGTGTATAGTGTAGTGTATACTAATGTAGTGTATAGTGTAGTGTATACTAATCTAGTGTATAGTGTAATGTATACTAATGTAGTGTATACTAATGTAGTGTATACTAATGTAGTGTATAGTGTAGTGTAGTGTATAGTGTAGTGTATACTGATGTAGTGTATAGTGTAGTGTATAGTGTAGTGTATAGTGTAGTGTATAGTGTATACTGATGTAGTGTATAGTGTAGTGTATAGTGTAGTGTATAGTGTAGTGTATACTGATGTAGTGTATAGTGTAGTGTATAGTGTAGTGTATAGTGTAGTGTATACTAATGTAGTGTATAGTGTAGTGCATAGTGTAGTGTATACTGATGTAGTGTATAGTGTAGTGTATAGTGTAGTGTATAGTGTAGTGTATACTAATGTAGTGTATAGTGTAGTGTATAGTGTAGTGTATACTAATGTAGTGTATAGTGTAGTGTATACTAATGTAGTGTATAGTGTAGTGTATAGTGTAGTGTATAGTGTAGTGTATAGTGTAGTGTATACTAATGTAGTGTATAGTGTAGTGTATAGTGTAGTGTATACTAATGTAGTGTATAGTGTAGTGTATACTAATGTAGTGTATAGTGTAGTGTATAGTGTAGTGTATACTAATGTAGTGTATAGTGTAGTGTATACTAATGTAGTGTATAGTGTAGTGTATAGTGTAGTGTATAGTGTAGTGTATAGTGTAGTGTATACTGATGTAGTGTATACTGATGTAGTGTATAGTGTAGTGTATAGTGTAGTGTATAGTGTAGTGTATACTAATGTAGTGTATAGTGTAGTATATTACTTCAGCCCATCCGGTGTGTTGGAGAGTAAACCCACATTTACCATTTGAGCGCCGTAACGTCTCGCCAGGTATTTACATCCAGCGGAGTGGAGCAATCCACTCGCCTTCTGGCGTCTAAGTGTCACCATGACTTCAAACCGCCGATCTCAACCCGCAGGTCCATAAGCACCTCTGGATCTGGCATCAGCACCGAACGTTGGACAAGCCTTTCTTTTCGTGATTCGTCGATTGGGGAATCGACGCCGCGCAATAAAATAAATCGATTATCTCGCCCCCCGTACGCGAAGGTATGAACGCGCGCCGTGAGAATTTCCGCGTTGAGAATCGAAGGGGTAATCGATTCAATCTTCATATTCGATTCATCCGGCTCCCGGACTCGGCACGCAGACTAAACGGAGGCAAGCATTTCGGTTGTTCGCTGGGATGGCATAGCCGAGATTAAATTCTAGTAAATCTGTTACTGGGAGATGATTTAAAGATATATAAATGTATAATTAGCCTTTGCGGACATCGATACGTAACTATAACTCTCTTGTTGAATAGAAAGGAATCGTTGAATCGAATCGACGGCGGCGTCACCTTCCCCCCCCCCCCCCTCTTGTGGCGGTGGCCTCGCCCCAGCAAAGTGCAGCCGGTGGAGAGGCAACGGTGGCGGTGTATCGATAGTCGTGGTGTATCGATACTCACTAATACCAGTGGTGTATCGATACTCACTAATACCAGTGGTGTATCGATACTCACTAATACCAGTGGTGTATCGATAGTCGTGGTGTATTGATACTCACTAATACCAGTGGTGTATCGATACTCACTAATACCAGTGGTGTATCGATACTCGTGGTGTATCGATACTCGCTAATACCAGTGGTGTATCGATACTCGCTAATACCAGTGTTGGTGTATCGAGTAGAGTCGTGGTAGTGGGAGTCGTGGTAGTGGGATCAGTCTAACAGTAGAGTGGTAGTGGGATCAGTCTAACAGTAGTAGTGGTAGTGGGATCAGTCTAACAGTAGAGTAGTAGTGGGATCAGTCTAACAGTAGAGTGGTAGTAGTGGGATCAGTCTAACAGTAGAGTGGTAGTGGGATCAGTCTAACAGTAGTAGTGGTAGTGGGATCAGTCTAACAGTAGAGTAGTAGTGGGATCAGTCTAACAGTAGAGTGGTAGTGGGATCAGTCTAACAGTAGAGTAGTAGTGGGATCAGTCTAACAGTAGAGTGGTAGTGGGATCAGTCTAACAGTAGAGTGGTAGTGGGATCAGTCTAACAGTAGAGTCGTGGTAGTGGGATCAGTCTAACAGTAGAGTAGTAGTGGTAGTAGTGGGATCAGTCTAACAGTAGAGTGGTAGTAGTGGGATCAGTCTAACAGTAGAGTAGTAGTGGTAGTAGTGGGATCAGTCTAACAGTAGAGTGGTAGTAGTGGTAGTAGTGGGATCAGTCTAACAGTAGAGTGGTAGTAGTGGGATCAGTCTAACAGTAGAGTGGTAGTAGTGGGATCAGTCTAACAGTAGAGTAGTAGTGGTAGTAGTGGGATCAGTCTAACAGTAGAGTAGTAGTGGTAGTAGTGGGATCAGTCCAGCAGTAGAGTGGTAGTAGTGGGATCAGTCTAACAGTAGAGTAGTAGTGGTAGTAGTGGGATCAGTCTAACAGTAGAGTGGTAGTAGTGGGATCAGTCTAACAGTAGAGTAGTAGTGGGATCAGTCTAACAGTAGAGTGGTAGTAGCGGGATCAGTCTAACAGTAGAGTGGTAGTAGTGGGATCAGTCTAACAGTAGAGTAGTAGTGGTAGTAGTGGGATCAGTCTAACAGTAGAGTGGTAGTAGTGGGATCAGTCTAACAGTAGAGTAGTAGTGGTAGTAGTGGGATCAGTCTAACAGTAGAGTGGTAGTAGTGGGATCAGTCTAACAGTAGAGTAGTAGTGGTAGTAGTGGGATCAGTCTAACAGTAGCGTGGTAGTAGTGGGATCAGTCTACCAGTAGAGTGGTCGTGGTAGTGGGATCAGTCTAACAGTAGAGTGGTAGTGGGATCAGTCTAACAGTAGAGTGGTAGTAGTGGGATCAGTCTAACAGTAGAGTAGTAGTGGTAGTAGTGGGATCAGTCTAACAGTAGAGTAGTAGTGGTAGTAGTGGGATCAGTCTAACAGTAGAGTGGTAGTAGTGGGATCAGTCTAACAGTAGAGTGGTAGTAGTGGTAGTAGTGGGATCAGTCTAACAGTAGAGTGGTAGTAGTGGGATCAGTCTAACAGTAGAGTGGTAGTGGTAGTAGTGGGATCAGTCTAACAGTAGAGTGGTAGTAGTGGGATCAGTCTAACAGTAGAGGAGTAGTGGTAGTAGTGGGATCAGTCTAACAGTAGAGTAGTAGTGGTAGTAGTGGGATCAGTCTAACAGTAGAGTGGTAGTAGTGGGATCAGTCTAACAGTAGAGTAGTAGTGGTAGTAGTGGGATCAGTCTAACAGTAGAGTAGTAGTGGTAGTAGTGGGATCAGTCTAACAGTAGAGTAGTAGTGGTAGTAGTGGGATCAGTCTAACAGTAGTAGTGGTAGTAGTGGGATCAGTCTAACAGTAGAGGAGTAGTGGTAGTAGTGGGATCAGTCTAACAGTAGTAGTGGTAGTAGTGGGATCAGTCTAACAGTAGCGTGGTCGTGGTATCAGTCGTGGGGGGCATGGAGCCCACGTGGTCGCGTCTGCACGTGCACGAGCTGCCCCCCGCCGTCTTTTTCGGCGTGGCGCGGATCCTGGACTCGTGCGACTCCGTGAGCGGGGCGAGGCACTTCGGTGAGGCCCTCCACCACCCGGCTCCACTGCTCCACCCGCACCACATTCACCAGCTACACTGCTCCACCACCCCCACATCCACCAGCTCAACTGCTCCACCCGCACCACCCCCCACATTCACCAGCTCCACTGCTCCACCCCCCACATTCACCAGCTCCACTGCACCACCATCACATTCACCAGCTCCACTGTTCCACCCGCACCACCCCCACATTCACCAGCTCCACTGCTCCACCCCCCACATTCACCAGCTCCACTGCACCACCATCACATTCACCAGCTCCACTGTTCCACCCGCACCACCCCCACATTCACCAGCTCCACTGCTCCACCCGCACCACCCCCACATTCACCAGCTCCACTGCTCCACCCGCACCACATTCACCAGCTACACTGCTCCACCACCCCCACATTCACCAGCCCCACTGCACCACCATCACATTCACCAGCTCCACTGCTCCACCCCCCACATTCACCAGCTCCACTGCTCCACCAGCCCCACATCCACCAGCTCCACTGCTCCACCCGCACCACCCCCCACATTCACCAGCTCCACTGCTCCACCCGCACCAACACCACTGCAGTGCTGTCTCAATCACAAATTCCATCTGAAGTTCTTCCTCCACATTCAGCATCCCCACATCCACTAACGCCACAGCTGTGCTGCCCTCCACATTAACTCCACCGGTCTTCTCGCACTGCTATCACTCAAACTCCAACCATACTGTTCATCCACTTCTGTACTCCCCGTGGTATTCGCTCGATCACAGTCGGAAGGTTTCCACTTCAAATCCTTGCTGGCGATTGACTAAAAAAACGAATCGCATGAATTTCATTTCAGTCTTAACTCGTTGAGAAGATACAATCCCAGAGGTGGGATTCTATCCGTGATATTTTTTTAGATTGCACATTTGGCTTGGTTAAAAACATTTGTTCATAATCTAATGTCTTGTTAAGCCACGTTTCTCTTTCGAATTACTTTATTATACAGTACAATATAGACGTGGCACGATACATTTTTCTTGTCAAAGATGCATAGCTGAACTGAGCAAAATTATAATTCACAAACAAGGTTACAGGAATAAGATCGAAGTTGATGCCCCATCTAAACGTTCCTTTAATTCTTGTTGAAATAAGAACACAAATGTATTTAAAGATGTACAAGTCTATTAAAAAAGAAAAAAAAAACAGGTGACTAATTTAATAAAATTCCCTCCTTTAAAAAATTGGCATTTCAAATCAATTCAGGATGGAATAGAATGGTACAGAGACACGTTATGACGTAACTACAGTACACAGATTGATATATATATTTTACATTTTAAGGGAAATTAATGGAGCGGGCCAATTTATTTACGTTACTACAGCAAATTCCAAGCTTTAGCAAACTTTATTGAGTTCATGATTTCCATTCCCTGGGTACCCTCCGTGCCAAATCGGTGGTCTTAATTTCGGTTCATTTGAGTTCAGTTCATATATTAGGTATCGCTCTGTGAGCCATGCGGCTCTTGACTCGGGTGCAAATACGTCAACGGAGCTGACGCCAAAATCACCGGGGAATGGATTCACCGTCACCCGATAACAGAAGTGAAGAAGGGTTGTGCCTGGATAGTTAACCTATTTTATGATCACCGTGCATACAACGGGTGAACTTGCCGCTAGGCCAAGTGGTGGGCAGCAGAAGGGAGTAGTCAGCAAAGGCCATTTCTAGACGATACTTTATGCCTCTACGTCCGTGCTCCTTATCTTCACCAACCTGTCATTAATGCCATCGTGAAGCAATATGTCAACGTTTCACCAAGGCCTCAACGGCATCGGGAGGGCTCCCATCAACAAGTGATGTGGTCACATGTGTTGTACATGCTTTTGGCACTTGATATTGTGGGTAAGCACGTTCATTAATAACCAAAAACATTTAATCGTATTTTCCTTCTGTTATTTCATTTTGTGGTCGGATATGATGTGGCCAATAGCTTGTGTAATTTGTGTAGTGGTTTGAAAGCACTTGCTAAAGACTTCTCCATTGTTGATACCATGTCACCCAGCGCCCTGAGCCGGACAGGAACGCAAACATGATGCCAAACGTGCAGACGACCTTGTTGTTGTCCATGGACGACACTACATCTTTCATGCTCACTTTATACCGTCCATTGATAACGTAGCTCGCTACACCAAGTTGGTCAACCGCGTGCCAGGGAAACTTATGTTGCCAGCGGCATCATGCACAGCATCGCGTCTGCTGTTAGGATTGCATGCATCTTTCTGCAGCATTCAATTTGTAGGAGAATTTGCGGATTACAAGAGGATTCACGTGGTCCATGGACAAAATAATGCATGGGATAAGACAACAAGGGCACAATGTACATGGGTTAAGTTCCGTCATGAATTGAGAGAATATAAATTGGAGCATATCCTTCAGTTGTGCAAGTCCAAATACTGTGGGGAGTTCACTCAGCCTATCATTCCCCTAGGGTCTATGAAATCCGTGACGCTTTTTCAGGAAGTCAACAGTGGTTGACCTATTTAAACTCCCCCTCCCCCCATCATAGGAATGTGGAATTTCCACCACTGGCTTAGGCTGTAACACAGCAAATGAGCACTACCCAAATGCTTATTTGAGCAAAAGTTGATTTTGACTTGTGGTCTAATAGCACAACATGCCTCAATGATTGGAATGTGTTTCAACCAAGTCATCATGACTGAGTCATTGATTCCATTGGTCAGCCTTCTTTCGTAAGGCTGATGCAGAGTGACAACTAGAATTTCACATTCAGGTTGGCCAAGCCAGACAACCGCGTCAGGAGTAGCGGAGTGGTGTCTCGTTGTGACGTCTCCTTATTTGTGGATCGGGCATTGCATCGTTTTACGTTGTACCGTGTCTGTCCTGGATGACCACAGTTGCACACTGGGGAGTTTTACAATTTTTCACGCATTGGGTATCCGTATCTGCCATGGTTTGTGCAGTGGATGCGATTTGCTCCTTGGGGAAGTGGCAGTCTGAGTAATACTGCTTGGGAAATTCGTGGCAGTCGTGTCCACCTTTAGGAACCTGGAAATGTTTGTTAATGGTAATTACTCAGGGAATGCGCTCCTCCTATCTCTGTCCCTGTGTAAGTTCAGCAGAGTTGGTTCAACACAACTACTATAAACACAAGCGCTGGTTCAAGCGGAGTTAGAAATCTAGGAACAATTGCGGTCACTACTGCTTCTATGTACACCGGCATTTCCCCACGCATAAACTAAATAACGTGCATTTATTCTACCTTAAACTATCTTCATTTCTTAGTACAGTATATACGTGTAATACTACCAACTTGTACTTTTCAATACACATTTACCGTTATAGCTTTAATCTATGTAACCGATATAATTTGTAAAACAAACAAGGGCTAATATTCTGCCGTTTCACGTTATCACCTGCGCCTGTAAACATGGCCACTTTACTCGGATGATTCCGAAAGCTCCCGCCAGCTCTCAACCCAGACCCACCAACGATTACAAAGTGTGCCTCCCTCCCTCCCTCCATTCTACAAGATCTTCCACCGACGGACTGGTTCCCTACCGACCTTTACAATGTAATATCACCTTTCTCCATCACTGTCAACCCATTATCAGTGCCCTACCTTATTACAGAACCAATTAAGACCTCCTACAAAGTCCCATCACAAGGGAGAAACACAAACAAATTGACGATAAGTACGTGTTGGTATTGAAATGGCTGTACGCCGTATGGACCTGAAAACTCAGTTTTCCTGTACAAGAATAATACCGGCAAGCCGTATGGGTTGACGGGTTTGCTCCCCTCACCCCTCAGCTGATCTCCACTCACCAGGTCTGCCGCCCGAAAACACCGAGCCAACCATCTGTCTCTCTGCGGTAGTCATTCCTCCTCCTTCCCCGCTCTGTGGAGGGAGCTGAAGGTTCGAGTTGCCACACGTCAGCCTCGAAACCTTAATGACTTGGAGAAGATCTGCAAAGAGGAGTGGGACAAAATCCCTCCTGAGATGTGTGCAAACCTGGTGGCTAACTACAGGAAACGTCTGACCTCTGTGATTGCCAACAAGGGTTTTTGCCACCAAGTACTAGCCATGTTTTGCAGAGGGGTCAAATACTTATTTCCCTCATTAAAATGCAAATCAATTTATAACATTTTTGACATGCGTTTTTCTGGATTTTTTTGTTATTCTGTCTCTCACTGTTCAAATAAACCTACCATTAAAATTTTAGACTGATCATTTCTTTGTCAGTGGGAAAACGTACAAAATCAGCAGGGGATCAAATACTTTTTTCCCTCACTGTAGGTCTTCAAAGATTTGAAAGAGCTTTAAGAAAGTTAAATAAACAGGGTAGGGAATTTCCCACACTGGCCTGAATGGTTGTGGTGAGTTTAATGAACAGAGGCTTTTTGCCAGTTCTGTTTTCTAGAATCAATTCAGCCCTACATTCTTTAATGCAGGATTTTTTTTAATGTAGGGCTGCATTGCATTTGTAAAGGTTAGAGGGGGAATCTCGTGTGCTGCAAATAATATTGTATCGTGATTGGGTTTGTACTGGTGTGTCGGTGTTTTATGTTTACAGTAAAACCTCGTTATTTCGGTATTTGATGATTTGTAATGGGGGATAATTCGGCACGGCTGTGCTTTCGGGACATACTGTATGCGGTGTATTAGTAATTCACCATGAGCCGAATTGCCGTACCGAATGGTCCAATTTCGGCACACACGTGGAGCGATGTCACGCGGTGAGTGTGGTGAGCGCGGTGAGCGCGGTGAGCGTCAGTGCAGACCCATCGTCGCTTTGTACTTTACCTTGTTTATGCACTCTGCGCAAGCCAACTCTCTCATAAATGTCGTCTTCACCTACATCGAGAAGCAATGTAAATGGACTGAAGTATAAATCCCTTGGTCTGCGAGACAAATCCAAAGTTTTGGATATAATTGATGCAGGGTGCGTGTCAATGCCTATGGTGTGTGAAGAGTTTAGAAAGCAAATGTGAATGTTTTGTTTATTGGGGCAGGAGGCACTGGGGGATACCATTGTACAATAATTCGGAATTATGTACAATGGTTTTTAGCTCAGGCCATAACTGTCTGACCAACTTGGTGGCATAAAGACCCTCCATCAATTCTGCATTAACCACACGTACTTGTATAAAAGCATAAACAAGGCCAAAATTAAGACTGTCTCTGATGTTGGCCAATCAGTTGCAAAGAAAGGCATATATTAATCAGAGCATGCTTCATTTTCTTTATGCAAGCCACCTACTTTTATTGAGCACGTCAAATTTGATTTATTCCGGGGTCAAAATAAGTTACTTTCCACATTTGAGCGCAAATAAAAGTGTGTGCATTGAAAAGCTTCCTTTTTACCTAACTTTTTTTCATCATTTTTAGATACTGGCAAAAAGGTCGCATCGATATTGAAGACCCATTTCCTGTCCCACCACAGCCTGTGATAAGTCAATTTTAGAGTGTTCCCATATCTGTGCAATGCATCAACAATGGTCTACAAAGCAATGTTTTGCAAGTGTGCACCGTCATAGGCCAGGACCTTTGTGTCAATCTAAATGCACAAAGTGGAGCCGTGAAAACTTTGGGCCCGTGCCAAAGTCTGCATGTTGTACTGCATTTTGTTCGTTTTGCTGTGTATGTTGGAGGCTTCTTCAGGACCTGAATTCAGTTCCTGGAGTAGCTCCCGGACAGACACGTGTAACTGAAAACATTGAGAGAGCTGTATGGCACAATCGCGCAAAAAACTATACGCGGTGGTTCAACGTCTCTTGACACAAATCGTCGCTGATATTCCAGCGGCACACGTTCTGGACGACCAAATGAAGGTGCGCGAAATCGAGAATTCCAGGCGAGGACACAGCATGGCAGAGGAGGTGCTCTGGCTGTGGGCCCAGAAGAACGCCACAGTTCACGACCTCCTGCAGGTGCTCATCGCCATCGAAAACCATCGCTGCGTCGAGTACCTGCAACGCGAGCGTACGTACACACACACACCGTGGGACACGCGCGTGGATGTTGCGTGCCAGAGTGACACTTAAGCACGAAACATCGCAGGAGCCTCCGATGTTCCAGCGTTGACTCCCCCCCCCCCCCCCAATTGCTTTCATGGCAATTGTATGCAAGGCCCGGCGGCAGCCTGCACACATTAATCTACAGTCGATCGCCAATTTTCCGGCGTGCAATTATCCGGTTTCCAACACTATCAGGCGGTCCCGGGCGAATCCGGCGAATCCGGCAAAACCGCTCCCAAGGCTGCAAACCAGTCCAGCGATCGGCACCGTGTGCGTGACTAAAAAAGTAGCTACGCTTGAATTCGGTGTCAAATATATACAGGACATTACACACAACAACTTAAACAATTGGAGTGGTCAGTACGGCACAGTAAATACGGTAACTTTTGAAAGTAGGATCTTTATTTTTGTCTCTGTATGTTTATTTATGCGAATTTCACATAGTAAACAAATTTAAAACACTAAAAAAATCATTTAACAACTTCTACAAACATAATGTCGCACAAGAATGCGCAAAAATCATCTCTTTTGAATAATGATAATGCGGAATTTTTGAAAATCCGGCGCCCCCTCCACCCTGAAGCTGCCGAATAATCAATGATCTCCTGTACATATCAATTGCAGACAAACGGTGGTTAGAAGGTTTCTGTTTGAGTTTTGAGTATATCACTCCTCAAGGGTTGCTTCAGTGAGTGCCAACCGCTCGGAAGTTAACAGTTGCCTTCATCTGGACTGACTGGGCCTTGCAATGGCAACGTGGAGAATTAGCCACTTTTCTCGTTTTGTGGATGTGTATGGAGGGACTTGGACTATTAGACTTCGAACCTGGTGACGGTCCATTTCTGTGTACAATAGACTCGATTATAAGCGTGCGGTTTATCCGATTTGCAGATGAACCACACACCTGATATTTTTAAGTAAATTAATTACTCGTGGATTTTCCCTTTAGCCCAAATTAGAAATCTAAAAACAGTTGCACATTGTAATTTTCGGAAATGTTCACACAAGTCACGTGCTTAAATCGAACAAATGTGCTCCGGTTAATCTGAAATCCACGTGATCGACTCTGCAGTACAGGAGTTGCAATATCTTTACAACAGTGGGCGGAGTTTGATTGATGTTGATTGGCGTGGCTCTGCTGCTGTCCGCTTAGTGGGCGAGTCTTCTGGTGGGCAGGTGCAGGAAAGTGTCATCATCACTGAGCAAGCGCATCAATCGTATTCATTCTAAATCGAAAGAGTAACAATCGAAATCCTCAGTTGTTCATTAACAAACTCAATTTTCTTAACGTAAACATGATTTAGACCTATAGCGCGGATAAACGAGAGTCTACTGTAATTCATAAATATATTTAACACGTGCAGAAGGTAGCCTCATGCTCACAAGAGTGACGTTGCCCAATGCCACGTGACAACACTTTTGGTAGGAAAAACACAGAAGCAGTGACGTGATGCAGGTGACGCCATTCTCACGAATAAATAAAAAAATGGTGTCGCATCTTCCAAATGTTCATATGTAAGGATGATTTGCAGATGTTTCAGATTCACTGGGTAATCGATAATATCCTTTGTGTGTGTGTGTAATTATGTATATGTTTATGTGTTGCAACTGTCATATCACATGGAATTCAATAAAACAGAGATTAGGAGTATACCTCCATTATGATATATAACTTCCACTCAATCTTTTTCACCCCCCTTCCCCATCCCGATAAACTTGTCCCACCTGTTGTGTCGAGCATCAGGAGATGATGACATTTAAGCCACTTATGAAAATTATAATTGTCACCAACCTCCCAGTGATTTGACGCTTAAAGGACACCCCAGCTGTGAGTTTCGGTGGGGCCACGTGAACGAGTGGGCGTCGATAAGGGCCCCCTACCCAACAGAGCCAAACAAATTCAATATGTCAGGCGTGCAAGTGTTTATTAACGCGCCACTTAATTTATTCTTTCGGCTCACCGGTAACACGAAGAACAATCCTGAGAAGCCAAATTTAGCTTGGCGCCTGTTTTTTTTTTGTTGCTGCTGCGTTTGCTTGCAGTGACCGGCTCCCCCAGTGCACATCCACGGCACAGCCTCCCTGGTGCCTCTCTTCCTCCTCCTGACCACCACCACTCCGTACCGGCCTCGCCAGACTTCGCGCGAGAAGCCGTGCCGCCCACACCAGGTGCCCTTTTGCTTCCCCCGTTCATCACTGCCTCACGTCCACTGCTGGATGGAGGGCCTCACCCCCTTGCAATGTGCTGTTCGTGTGGGGGTTACGTCACCATGCTTTAGCCACGCCGCTCGGTGCGGGGTTGGCGAAGACGTGGTGCACAGTCACGGGAACGTATAAGTGTCATACAACGGTGGATTTTTGTTCGAACATTGCTGTCCACCGCATATCCCACAATGCACCCCTGTCCTCCCCCATGACAACCTGTTTGTGTACATGATGGTTACCCACCCAGGCACTATCCAGGCTCAATTCTGTTTAGCTTGCCAGATCTGTCAAGGTTGGACACATTCGCGTTAAGTTGGTCAGAGGCTCAACAATATGTCATATATTTTAACATCATACCACACATTCAAGTGTTGTGTCCTTCTCCCAGTCATAAGTACGTAATTATTATAATGGTAATTATTAATAGGGCACTGGAAATTCCGTGGTAATGGTCTCACCCATTAATATCTCCACCTCTTTTGAAATATGCAAATATCATTCATCAATGCTTTTACAGAGCCAGGAACATTGGTTAATTTTCAGATGGCCGATTTAATAGCACTCTCCAAAGTCGTGCAAAATCAAATAGCAATCAGTGCAATACAATTACAATGCAGTTGGGATATACGGAGCATAAACTGTAAGTGCAACCACACCTCAAGATGCTGTATGTAATAATATACATGCGTTCACATGATGAGGCATTGCAAATATATTGTCAAGTAAGTACGTTAACTGTAATTGCATATAATGTCAATGGGCTTGGTTTCAGATTAACTTGCACATGAAGTGTAAACATTAGCCATGGGTATGTGCACAACCCTTTTCATTTTGGTGAACCGGTTTCAGCCTGCCAACCCATTGAGGGTTAACAGGGGGAGGAGCGATCACGGACGGTGGTTAGCTCTATGCACTGTAAACACGGCCGCCTGATTTTGATCCCTGGCCGTGGCTAACAACAACAATTGACCGGTGATATATGAACCAGTGCCTTCTTCACCCACGTGCACTGACTGCAGTGTTGTTGTGCGGCGTTACGTCACCCGCACAGTCGACATGGCGTGGCGAAGCTTTCATCCGTAAATAGTCGATTGGCAAAGGGATCGCAACTGGATGACTGAGTGATCACGACCAGATCCTAATTCAGTATCCAGTGTGCACATATGCAGTTACAACATAGCTCTTATCTGCCCCCTCCTATTTGCCACTCCAAAATATATTTGCACCTGAATCGATCCACGCTTGCCTACCGTTGAGATGTGTAACAATAATTGGCAGCAAATTCGACCGATTGTCCACATGTGTGCACGTTTTGAGATGAGGAAGATAGGTGGATAATAGGATCAGCCAACAGCAACATGGGGAGCTGTCTTCATTACCGATGTGTCATTTCTGATATATATCTTCGGCATTAAAAGTGTTGTTGAAATGCTACTTCATATAATGATCTGAAACTACTTTGGAATAATACTTGTTTTTTTCCTGAACAACAATAGCAATGTCACTTGTGTAACCAGGAAAGACTCAATTGGCAAATGTGGCTTTTAAATGTTAAGCATGTATAATAGAACCAGAATAAATATTAGGCTGCATCGATCAAACGTCAGCATAGGTGGTTTTGTGCCGGGGGCGATGTTGTTATGTGGGTTTGTTTTATCTTCCCAATTAGGTCATTTCCGAATAATGTATAAAATTTGGACCGTGGCGCTGGTACACATGGCCTACTCTTTTTCGAATAACATCACAGCACCTACTGCAGATACGCCGTCCATGGAGCGGACGGCGCGTGCTCACAGTTGGTGCACCCGCAGGATTAACCAGGGTGGCCGCTGTCCTCGGACTGCGATGCTGTGCAACGTTGGGGACGCCACGGTGGCTAGGAGATGTTTACTACCTCGCCTGGTATACAGGAGGGTCGTGGGTTCGATCCCGACCCTGGTGCCTGCTGTATATTTGGAGTTTGCATATCTCTCTCCTCGTTGTTGTGTGGATTTTTCTTCGGGTCCTTCGGTTTTCCCTCCACGTTTAGAATAATCAACAACATGTGCTCAGAGCATTTTGCTGGCTATAAATTCCCACGTGATGGATGGTAAGCGACTTCGTTGGGCTATCGTTTGTGGCCAGCTCGCTTCTGAAAAAGAGCCACATAGCTCGGTGGGCCTTACCTGGTAAAATAAAAAAAATGGTTTTGTTTATAAATGGCAAACACGCTGCCACTTGTCCACCGTCACCGCCACGATTGTCTCATTTTCCCTTTTGTGTCTCCGCTCAGATGGAGGTGTTGAGATGGATGAACCTGGAGTCCTGTTACTCCCCCCACATCCACCCAGCCACAGTTTCTGTTCCCTAAAGTGCTACAAGCAGCATCTGCTCCAGCCACGTGACCCCATCAAGTGTGCAGACCATACGTCGGCAACACCATCGCCTCTGTCCGTTGCGCCCCAGGTCAGCGTTCACAGGTTAAATCGTTTTCCTACACTGGCTGTCATTCTCCCGCACCTCCGATGAGCACGGTTGGCTACGTGCGGCTCCCCCGTTCATCTAAATGCATCATCGTGACAATGATTTGAATCCATGGTAGTCAAATTGTTGCAGCTGTAATAATTTGGTGATCTTTTTCCGCGCATACTTAAATTAAGCATGTGCACGTTGCGTGCACCTTACGGGCTGTAATTGGGGAAGCTGCATCCGTGTGGTCGTGAGGCTTGAGTTTCAGGAGCACTGGTTCGTAACGATACAGGAAGTGCACCGTGTCCTCGCTTCAGCGGATGCAACAGATGAGTGTACACGCAAGAGTCGACGTTCATTCGGCGTGTAGCTATCCTGCGCGTGTTCTTCACAAACCATCGCCGTGATCTGGAGAGCGGCTGCCCGCGGTTGTAATTTCTCTGCGAGAGGGTAATTTTCTTTTTAACTTGTTAATGTTTTTTGAATGTTCATTCCCCCAGGGGAATCCAAAAGAGAAGGGGACAACAATCAACAATCTTTCCCAGCCTCCCTCCTCAAAAGTTTCCGGTATGTGCCTCTGGTGTTCCTTGTGCGGCACAATTACGGCAGAGAAATGACCTCGCACTGCTCAACTGACATCTTTCACATTATATATTTTTTTATTTGTTTTTATATATATATATTTTATTATTTTGTTGTTTCCCTTCAACGTGACTTTACCGAAAGAACTAAGAATATGAATTACTGCAGTCACGAAAGCTTTAAATCAAAATCTTTCACATTGTCCATGCTTCCTTGGCCTTTGGGCCCACTGGAGCCTGACCGTTACCTCAATGGATTCCTCCTCGCCGCACTCTCTCCACGTCTCTCTCTCTCTCTGTCCACCGCTCCGTCGTTCAACTGAGAGATCTCCAGTAATGTACGCGGCTTCGCGTTTCACGGGATACAACCCCAACTATTGTCATCAACTACATTTTGAACCCAAAATCAGCGATGCGTGCATTCCACAGTTTTCCGACGCACGCCACATTCCAGCAATAAATAAACACCCATAATACAGTTTTTTTTTTGGGTTAGATCGAGATCTAACCCCAAAAACCTGATGATATTGGTCGCGGAAGTCTTATGTGTTAACTAAATAAATGTACTCGCTTACCAGGAAAAAGCGGTACAGCAAGCGTGGCCTAATCACCATCCGTCCGATGTGTACGGAATAAAGTATTTACCACTTGCATGCGTGGGTTGGCTCCAGGTGCCCCAGCTTCCTCCCCACGTGCATAAACACTCAATATTTGAAAGAACACTTCTTCACGTGGAACACGCCTTGTGTGCATGCCCATTGTGCAGCGTTGTGAGATGCATCATGCATGGGACCTGTTCTGGCAGTTTCAAAGATTGAAAATAAGATTTGGTTTTACCCTTTCTGGCAATAAAAACAGGAGGTGTTAAGATGTTCAAACACCAAATCGATACCTTTTGCAAGGAACCAAGTCTGCATGTTCACCACAATGACTTGTCATGAACATGCAATCAAAACATGTTCTGATTCTATCAGCATTGCCTTTGAAACTGATTGGCCTACACCAGCGACAGCCTTCTTTATGTCCTAGTCTCACCAGTGTCAGACCAGAGAACGCCGAAAGGCGAACAGGACAAAGACAATGCACTATGAGAGCATTTCTAGCTCGGGGTGAGCAGCTATACCATGGGACCTTTTTTGTCAGTATTAAAGAATAAAAAATTAAAAAAATAGTTTTGACCCTTTCTGCCAATAAAACAGGAGGTGCTAAGATGTTCAAACACCAAATCAAAACCTTTTGCAAGGAACCAAGTTACTGCATTAACCACAATTACATGTGGTGAACTTGCAAACAAAACGTTCACCGATACTACATGAGATACGATAGCATTAACAACGCTGCTATGTAAAAACTAAATATATATACGTTAGTGTCCGGTGTCACTAACAGTGTCCCATCGTGTCCAGCGTCTCTACAGGCAGAGCCGGAATCCTGGCTACGGTTTTCGCACGACATGGTCTGCTCTGGCACTCAGAACTTCAGCGAAGGCCGCAAGATCGGCGAGGGCAGTCTGGGCACCGTGTACGGGGCCTTCATCTGCCAAACCGACTACGCTGCCAAGCTGCTCCGACAGGTGCTACGGGAACAGTAGGAGGGCACCGCCCTCCTACGGCGCAGCTGGGGTGTCGTGGTGCGCAAGCTCCTTGGCCTCACCTTGAACTGCGATGCGAGTGCATCTTCGTGCTCTTTGTAACAAGTGGATTCTTAATGCACGTACATCGACGTGCGTACGTGTGTATGGGCATCGTAATGGTTAAGCGCGCTGCATTCCGAACCCTGGCGACCCGAGTTCGATTCCTGCTCACGGCCAATACCCGTGGAAATTATCTGAACCGATCTTGGGTCTCCCTCGGTCGACTCGGCCTCAAATGACTATCTGCTGCATGAAGGTCGTGTTCTGCTTGAAGATTGTTTGGACTGGGCGTGCATTTCACTCCCCCTTATTTTGCCAGTGAAATTTTGATGGACAATGTTGTTCTTAACACCGTGTTTGTATTGATAAAATGCGTACAGTTCGAGTGTATGTCTTTGGTTCCGTTGGCTTTAAACACGATGCGTTCGTAAAGAGAAATTTGCGTGCTGAGGATTGTGTTGTTGTCTGTCGCAGACGGGTAGATTTAAAGAGGAGGGCGCTTGGAAAGTTGTTGAGTCGGAAGCCAGAAACCTTTCCCAGTAAGTTCGCAAAAACCAAATGTCAACAATATCACGTCGACTGTCAAAACATGTACCACGACACATTAACATGAGAGATTAAGCAGAAATTTATTTTGAATAAAGCTTCATTATTTCGGACAATTTAACCAGATGGTGGTGGGGGTGGTGGTCACGTGTCTACGGTGTAACAACCATGGGACCTGACGGAGGAGGGTAGAGGGCGTTGGCGAGGTGTGGTAGCAGCGACGCCTTCGACCACGATGACACCCCCATCTTGAGAGCATTCTTTTGTGCTCTCATCCCTACACCTAAAACCGGGGGTGGGGAAGATGCCACCCCCGTACCTACGCTTCTTGAGCCCTGTCGCTCTGAAACGGCGGGCGTGCGAAATACGTCTCCATCACTGAAAAGCCCTCATTTCGCAGCAGGAAAAAGCTCAAGGTGCAATCCCTGCAATTTCTTGCTTTGCTTGTGCCACTGCTGTCGGTGATATGGCCCAGTGGTTAGTGAATTCGCCGGCACTCAGATTGGCTCCCAGCACCAAACAGTTCAGGAAACTCTGCAAGGCTATTTTTTCCGTTTAGCTTTTCCCTGTGTATGTTCCCTCATTTTGATGTTTTTATACGTTTCTTGATTTTATAGGTAGAGACTACCTTCGTTTAATTTATACTGTAAAGTATTGCCATGCCCTCTTTAGTGGGGGCGAGTTCTTGCTCAAAAAATAAATTGAATGAATGAATGATTGGCAGAGGCTCACGGTTAGAGCTCCAGTGCCCACCCTGGTTATAATATATTTGTAATAATCACAGAATACTAAGCGCCATCTGCTCCACAACGGCCGTTAAAGGAAGTCCCCTCTGACGGCATTCGAAAACGAGTGGGCAATTGTGTGCCGGTGTCTTCGTTCCAAATTTGCCAAATTCTAAACATTTCCCACATTGCATAATTTGGATTACACACGGCATGCTTTGCCCCCCCCCCCCCTACTGGCAGACTAATTCCTGATTACAGGCCAGGTACGGGGTCATCTTGTTCCCACAGGGATAGGGATCTGAAACGCCACGGCATTGATTCACAAATGAATTTGTTCCCCGTGTGGCTGCAGGTTGAAACACCCAAATATAATCGTGTTGGCCGGCTACAGCCAGAAGGATGAGCAGTGCTGCCTAATCTACGAGCTGGCGGCAAACGGATCCCTGTCTGACCGGCTCCAGCGTGCGGTGAGTCAGGCTGCAGATCCATGCCCGTAGTTTTAATCGCCGAATGTAACATGCTTTGGCCTTTCGTAATATCTTTTCCCAAACCCCACTAAAGGTGAAGGTGGAAGCGGTGCAGGTATTTGGGCCTACTCTTCTATGATGGACACATGTGTCGGAAGTGCTTGGCCAAGTTAAATGTTCAGTTTGTCAGGCTGTTGTAGAATGAGGATCCGAAGGGCAAGCCGGGTAACTGATTTTGTCATTTATGTTCCAGCAGCCACGTGAAAGATGTTTCCATAGTGGGATGTGGGTTTAAATTAGACAATTGTCTCACCTCGACTCTGACATGAAGTCTCGAGTTGGGGGTAGTATAGGTGAGCCATTGTTGATGGTTACTCATGGAGAGATTTATCTGGGGAAGCCTTCCTGAGTTTCAAGGCTCTCTTTCAGGAGGGTCCTGCATGTTCATGTTTGGCCTATTCCAAACATGAACCTTGAATTTTCGGGCACAATGCTTGTGATGATCGCTTGTTGTGATCGAAATGTCGTAGTTTTTTGTTCATTTTATATTTATTTGTATAAATTTGAACTTATCTACGTGACTTTACAGAAAGACCCAAATAATACATCACATATTTGAAGGCCTTCAACAGTACAGAGCTAATCTTCAATAAAGCATCTACAAAATGTACAGCGGTCTTCCCTGTGCCAAGGCGAAGTTGTCGACCTTAGCCAGGCAGTGGTGGCTATGCGTGCCCAGAATCCAGCACTGTGCAGGTGAGGGTTGGTAGATCACACACACAGATGTTGAGAAGCTCCCTGCCCGTGGGTGTCCGAGGTACATTGTTCCGTCTCGCCAGGAGAAGGCGGTTCGCTCTATCCCGTTTGTACGGGATCGAGCGTTTGCCCTCTCGCACGCGTGGCTTTTCGGCGTGTGCTTTGGTTTCCTCCCACGTTTTCAACACTTATTTATTGGCCGTAAACATCTTTGTATGTAGAGGACCGCAGAGCTTGGGCAATTATTGGCGCTGACACACCGGCTGGTTGCTGCTTTCCCGCTTGTCTGCGGATCCTCTACTTGCCCCCGAGTTGTTCCGTCTCTCCGAGGAGTGAGCGGATACCGTGCGACACTACGTTGCAAGCTTGGAATTATCAACGTGCATGTCGTGGCTACATGCGCAGTATAGAGTGAGCCCCCTGAACTTATTTTTGTTGTGCTGTGAAAATATTTACAGGCTAGAGGAGGTCCCGACGCTTGTGGGTAAGGCGCTTTGCGAATCATCTGCCGCGGGCTGCGTAGCGATGAACAGCGCTGTGCGAGCCCTGTGTCGGCGCACGCTCTTCGCAGCGAACGTCGCACGTGCATGCTCACGCGGCCTCTGTAATCGCACGCTTGCACGCTCAGTATCGTGTGCGTGGGCAAAGCCGCCCCCCCTCCCCCCCCCCCGTGGCAATTTCACCTAGCGGGGCGTCGTCCACAAAGCTGTCATCCATTGTTCTCGGTTTATAATTGTGACCGGCAGTTTGCGCGCGGTCGATTGACATGTAAAACCCCACACACACACACTTGGTAGTGTGAGTAGTGTGAAAATGTTACCATAGCTTTATGGACACCCTGTATTTAGTGTGGCTGTAACCCTGCCCAGCATTCCACGTACCATATTAATTCGTGGTGGATGATTTCCCTATACATCGATTAGTATCAGTCCTTCGGCTCATTCCATATTGATCCAACCGCATGTGTGTAAGATTTTATGTTTATTTTTATTCTAATTTACTTTGATGTTTAATGACACACTGTGAATAGAAACATCGAATCTATTTGCTAAATTTGGCGGTGAGGATTGTTTTTTCAACTCACTCGTGTGTGAGCTGAAACCGTGAATAATCGGTGCGTTAAACGCTTGCACACCTGACAATTTCATTTGTTTTGCTGTGTCGGGTGGTGGGGGACGTATTAACGACACAAATTTGGTCAAATTGTCGTGACCGAACGCAAAAATGATTTACGAACGAAAATATTGTTTGCAACAAAACCTACTGGCTAAAAAGCTTTAGGTTACTCAGGTCATATGTTCAAGCTACTATAAAACCTCATACCTATCTACGTTGCCAACGTCTCAGCTCACGCACGCCGGATAACCGTTCTCAAAATCCATCTGCCCGAGCACAACTTGCCTTGCACAATCTTCAACGTCTGCCCGAAAGTAAAAGTGCACGCGAGGCCTCGTGTAGACGTTTGGTCGTTCTGTCCCGTAGGGGGGCACGGCGCCGCTGGGGTGGCGCCGGCGCCTCGCCATCGCCGTGGGCCTGGCCCGCGCCGTCCTCTTCCTGCACTCGTCGCAGGCGGCCCCCGTTGTCCACGGAAACGTCCGCAGGTCGGCCTCCCGACACCCGGCCGCTCGCTCGTTGCTTGCTCGCACGTCGCTCGCTCGCACGTTGCTCGCACGTCGCTCGCTCGCACGTTGCTCGCACGTCGCTCGCACGTCGCTCGCACGTGGCACGTCGCTCGCACGTCGCTCGCTCGTCGCTCGCTCACACGTCGCTCGCTCACACGTCGCTCGCACGTCGCTCGCTCGTCGCTCGCTCACACGTCGCTCGCTCGCTCGTCGCTCTTTCATCGCTCGCTCACACGTCGCTCGCTCACACGTCGCTCGCTCACACGTCGCTCGTCACACGTCACTCGTCGCTCGCTCGTCGCTTGCTCACACGTCGCTCGTCACATGTCGCACGTAGCTCGTAGCGGACCACAGAGCTGCACGTGTGCAGGGAGGCACCAATTGGGGGTTGCCGGGCTTACGTGGGCACGGCCTCACAGTGGCGAGTTTCCCACTCGCGGCCGCCCCTGCTTCATTACCGCTGCTGCGGGGTGGGTTTATCGCGGACGCAGTGACGCGCCGTCTGCTCCGCGGCGGACGCCGATGCTCCCCCCCCGTGGTGTTGTTCGAACAAAAAACAGAGCAGGGAGAGGAGGCGGTTGTGTGCCGGTGTTGTGGTCACCGACTTGCCAAACGTGTGAAAATGTACCCGCGGTGGGGAGGCTCTCGTGCAGAATTCTATCGACAAGAAGGGCTGCAGATGAGTCAATTCCATTCAATCGCTTATTTCCAAAAAAATAGCTACTGCTGTATATTCTGTTTGTGTGTACAGTGGGGGAAAACAGTATTTGATCCCCTGCTGACTTTGTACGTTTGCCCACTGACAAAGAAATGATCAGTCTATCATTTTAATGGTAGGTTTATTTGAACAGTGAGAGACAGAATAACAACAACAAAATCCAGAAAAACGCATGTCAAAAATGTTATAAATTGATTTGCATTGTAATGAGGGAAATAAGTATTTAACCCCTCTGCCAAACATGACTTAGTACTTGTTACTTGTTCTAATATGCAAGTTTCTTGAGTCTACATTAAAATAACATTAACAATATAAGCAACGGTGAAATTGAATCTATAATGTGAACACAGACCTCTGTTTTGGTTTTATGAATTGCTTATTCTTTTTTTTATCAGGAAAGCTTCGACCAATCCTTTGACTGTTTTGGGAAGGTCTGTACATTGGTGGGATGTTTAGTCACCATTTTATATTATTCCAGCTGTGGGAAGGAAGCGGAGAATCCCAGATAGAACCAGGACAGAACAGGGGGCGCACATACAAAGGGCACCCGAGTCAGGAATCGAACCCAGATTGTTGCTTGCCGTGTGGCACGAGTGTTGCCATTGCGCCTCGCTGCCGCCCACTGCCGGCTGTCCCTTCCCCCCTCGACGCCTCTCGCGACTGCGGCATCGTGCGAGCTCCGCAACTGCAGCGTGGATTTGTTTTGTTGGTGTTCGTTTGTGCTGCTGACGAATGAACTGCCCCACCGCCGCCCCCCGGCACCGCACAGCTCAAAGGTGCTGCTGACCGAGGGCTTTGAGCCCAAGCTGGGCGGCTTTGGGCTCGCGAGCCTGCGCCCGTCCCTGGGGCTCGCTCGCGATCACAGCGTCACGGTGACGATGCGCACGAGCCTGCTCGGCAGCCAGCTGGCGTACCTCCCTGACGAGTTCCTGAAGGATGGGCAGCTCTCCACCAGCCTGGACGTTTACAGCTGCGGCATTGTGAGTCGCGCGGGCTTTTTAGGGACGATGTCCTCGCCTGTTAAATTGGGGAAGCTTCACTGCGCCACGGTGGCTATGAGATGTTAACTACCTCGCCTGGTATGCAGGAAGTTGTGGGTTCGATCCCGACCCTGATGCCTGCTGTTTATTTGGAGTTTGCGTGTCTCTCTCTCATCATCATCACGGTAGCTAGGAGATGTTAACTACCTCGCCTGGTATGCAGGAAGTTGTGGGTTCGATCCCGACCCTGATGCCTGCTGTATATTTGGAGTTTGCGTGTCTCTCTCTCATCATCATCACGGTAGCTAGGAGATGTTAACTATCTCGCCTGGTATGCAGAAAGTTGTGGGTTCGATCCCGACCCTGATGCCTGCTGTATATTTGGAGTTTGCGTGTCTCTCTCCCCGTGGTCTCGTGGACTTTTGTTCGGGACCTCTTTGTTTTTCCCTCCACATTTAGAAACGTGCGTTCAGAGTAATTGGCTGCTGTAAAATGTCCACATGATAAGCCACTTCTCGTTGAGCTATCATTTGTGGCCAGGTCGCTTCTGAAAAATAGCTCTGGCTCAGTGGGCCTTACCTGGTAAAATAAAAATCGTTTAAAGAGAGTATCAGGTATCTTTTTTTTTCCCAGGGGGCTTCTGCAATAGGGTCATAGGTGAATCCCTTTAAAATAATTGTTTTGTTTGCGGGGAAAAAAACTGGAGTAGCCAGAGGTAACCCGGAGATAACCCATGCCTACGCGGGGATTACACTCACAGATCCCCACAGCTGAGAGCCTTTTTGAGACCTCCGGTCTGATTTTCAACGGAAGCCTGGGACAAACTAAACAGCGTAAAGCGTATCAAATAAATACTAAATGAAAATTAAGCATATCGGTTGCAAGAATAGGTACAGGTTTACAATATCTGAAAGGGTGGAGCACTTGTACAGCAGTCAGGCCACAGACCGTCAACCTTGTGGACACGAGTTTGATTCCAGGCCACGTGTAACATCAGTGGCAAGTGAAATCTGAGCCGGTCCTAGCTCCACATTCGCCGACAAGCACTGACCAGTATGGTGAACTATGGTCAAACCAACCCCCTTGGCTGACAGGCCAGTTCGGGAGGCCTTTATCCAGCGGTGGAATGACAGTGTTGTTGTATGTTGTCACTTGAGTATGGACGCGATATCTTGACTATCCTTAACAAAACTGCAATGTCTGTCGCTCAAAATGCACGCTCCTCTTGTTTGTCCCAATCCCAAGGTTCTGCTTGAGCTTCTGAGTGGGATCAAGGCCTACGATGCCAGCCGGAAGCCCCGATTACTGGTAAACCTTTCCCTCCTCTACAGTTTCCATCTCCTTTGTGAATTATATTTTGAGCAATCGGACAAACACTATTCACTCACACTGGCCTGGGGAGGCCTTAATCCTACGGTGAGTTAATAGAGGGCCGTGATTTATTGATTTCCCATCGCTGTGAAGCCCTTTTCTCTAAGCACAGTTGCTGAACACAGGCCCCCGAAGACCCGAAATGTTAAGTGGCAGCAAAACACATCACCATCGTCATCGCGATCGCAGTTGTGTTAGATAAAAGTTAACACTTTTCTTGAATCGAGCAAAGGCTGTTATGGGAACTTGGGATGGCACTCTGAAGTGGAGCAGTGCGAGGAAAGAGTCTGACAGGTGTTGTGACCTGCGGTGTGTGACCTGCGGTGTGTGGTGGTTGAACGGAGAACGGATGATACCAAACCATCTGTTTGTTTAATGAACTCAACTTGCTTGTATCACCCCCTGTCTCTATGTGTGTGTGTGGGGGGAGCGGTGGCGCAATGGTTCGCGCACTGCGCTTAGAACCCATCGACCCGAGTTCAATTCCTGCTCACGACCAATATCGGTGGCAAATATTTGAACCGGTCCTGGGCTGCCCCTAGATCGACTCAGCCTCAAATGAGTACCTGGTGCGATGTGTAAACATCGCCACTGGGGAGACAAAGGCGGCCGATCTAGTGCTGGCCACCCACCCCCTCGTGTACCCTTCCGGCCTTCATAGTTGCTACTCACTACCAGCACTTGCCCCAACAGTCTGTTAATGCTATACGGGGGACCTTTATGTGTGTGCGTGCTGGGAGCAGTGGCGCAATGGTTAGCGCACTGCGCTACGGACCTAGCGACCTGAGTTCAATTCCCGCTCACGAACAATATCAGTGGCGAATATTTGAACCGGTCCGGGGCTTCTCCTAGATGGCCTCGGCCTCCAATGAGTACCTGGTGCGATGTGTAAACTTCGCCCCTGGAGAGACAAAAGTGGCCGGGCGTGGTGCTGGCCACCCGCCCCGTCATGTGCCACAGTGCCGGCCTTCATAGGTGCTACTCGCTAACAGCACTTGCCCCAACACACTGTTAAGGTTGTACGCGGGATCTTTGTCTTTGATGATAAATATATATTGAACGCCGTTTGTTTTTGGAGAGCAGAAGGACTTGGTCCTGGACAGCGATCCCTCGCTGCCGCCAGAGCAGCTTGTAGACAAGACTGCGGGTGCCTGGCCGTCGTCCGTGTCGTCCGCCCTACTCGCGCTCGCCCTTCGGTGCATCGGGACACGCAAGTCGCGGCCTCACATCAGAGAGGTAACAACAGCGACATCGGTGGCATCTGCTGTGCGTTGTTGTTCTTTTTGCTTTGCACTTCATTGGAATACTACATAATCACTTATTTAGCACCTTAACCAAGGCACTTTATAAAGAATTCACAACGGTACTACATATGAATGTTGTGGTGGACATGAGGTGAATGAAATAGACGAGAGGAAGCAATAGTGCGAATCTGTGATGCGTGAATTCGGTGAAAGTGAAATTGATGAGAGGAAATGATGATGAATGGAGTGAATGAACGGGGAATGAGTGTTCGCCATATCATGAGAATATGAAGAGGGAACGGTAACGGTGGCGGTTACGGGGGTAGAGATTAAGGGGGTCGTGGGGTGAGCGAGGGAAAACAAGTGACGTTAGAGTGAGGAGCGGAAACGAGTGAGCGGAGGTGACCGCTGGATGTGGAGGGGGAAGTTTGTTCCAGTGAAGGGGGGGGGGGAGAAGAGAGGAAGAGCGAAAGCGCGGATTGAGCACCAGCTGAAGGAGTGACATATACACATATATACATATATACACATATATACACACATATATACACATATATACATATATACACATATATACATATATACACATATATATACATATATACACATATATACACAAATATACAACAACAACCGCCATTCACCACTAAGTGGCGGTGACGTCACCACGACGCTTGTGCCAGGCTATGTGCACCCTGAGGCCACGTGAAGTGTCGAACGCCCGCTGGCAGGAGGTCACGGGGCAGACCCAGGTGCCACAAATATATGCACATATATACACATATATACACGCATATATACATATATGTACACGAGTGGCGAGATATGGTGGGCCGTTGTGTGCAGAGACCGGTCCGGGGCACCAAGTCTCTCCTCCGTTGTCATGCTGCCTTCCGCTGCACCCTCTTCATCCGTTTGCACGGCCATCGTTGTCCGACACCACCCAGGGTCACCGTTACTTTTCCCTCCTCTCGGTCTTTGCTCAAATGATCTTCTCACCATCACTTTCCTGCAGCTGGCCGCCGGTCCCTCTTGACTCCTACGTGTCGCCGATCCAGATTTAATTTCCTCTTATTAGTTGAATGGAAAAGGAACAGCATTTTATCATCTGCTGCAGCAGGTTATAAATTATTACTTCACATTGCTCGAATTATGTATTGAAAGTAAGAATAGTCTTGTTTAGTTTGTGCATCTCTCTTGGCAAGGGAGGCCTTCATAGTTATACATTGGAGAGACGACTATTTATTTGTGGAAATGGGTTTTATTATCATTTCTGATGTGGACACAACATAATGCACACGTGGTAAGGGTGCAGCCCTGCCATTTCTAGCTTACACCACCGCTGGAAGAAGGCCCTCGACTATAAGGGAGCCTTGCACCACGTGTGTTTTAAATATCGAATACAAACACAGAACTGAGTTAGTTTCAAACGTAAAGCGGTGAATATCCTCGTGCTTTGTCTATTTTCATTCAGGTCTACGAAGAACTCGAAATCCTTCACAAAGGACACTTCACAGATGATCTACACGTGTTTGCCGGTTCCACGTTCGGAGGAACCTTTGCAAATGCTCCTCAGCAGCACAGACCGCAACGCCGTAGACCGGCAGAGATGACGGACGTTCATTCGGCCGAGCTGCCGCTCGCAGTACCCGCTGCAGGCCCTCGCAGCCTCAAAGCAGGCGGTGCAGCCGTAGCAAAAAGTGACGTTGCCAGCTGCAAACCTGTCGATGCCAGGAGCCTTCGACACGAGGACGGTACAAAGAAAGCCTACGGCGGTGTATCCAAAGCTGACGCCTTCGAAGTATTTCCACACGAGGGCACCACTTCTTCGCTGCTTTTGCAAAGCCTCGAAGCGTCGTTCAAAGCTGACACCGACTCGTGGACATTTGATTTGATCGAAGCAAAATATGGCCGAGCTCCCGCCGAGTCTCTGGATCCTGTGATGCAGCTGGAACTGGAGGCGGCGCGTGGCGAAGACAAGTCTGACGGAAGGCGCTCGGCGGAGCCGTTCGACCGTGCCGACGCCGAGGCGGTGAGCAGTCGCGTACCTCGGGCAGACCACGGCGCTGGCGCGGCAAGCGAGGCCCTGAGCGGGCTCTCCCTCTCTCGCGCAAGGGAAGATGCCGCCGCCGCCGCCAGACGGGATGCCCTCGCGGACGTTGAGCCAGAGGTAGTCGGGGCCGATTCGTGCACGGCCCCCGAGGAGAGATTCCCACGGGAACGTCCCCCGGGTGGTGGCGCCGACGAGGGCGGTCCCTGCGAGGATTCTACAAAGCCGGCGGCTGCCGCTGGGGAAACGTCTCAGGAAGGTCCAAGTAATTTCGAGGCAGGGAGTGTAAGCGAGCAGGCTGGAGCGTGTGGGTCAACGGGGGCCTACGAATCGCAGCATATTTCTAGAGGTAAGTAAAAACTAAAATGAAGGTGAAGATCCGCTTGTCCAGAATGTGTAGCCATCACTGTAGAGCAGTATATGTGGACCGAGTAATGCTTTTCTTTTCTTCTAAGCAAAATTATTTTTTAATGAATCGTTTACAATGTAACTCGTGTTCCTACAGCGGCAAGATCATCCTAAAACCAACGATTAAGTCAAACAGAGTGCGTTGGCCGTCGGTGTCCGGGCCAGAGAGCAAAAACCCCGTCGCTGTCATCATCGCCAGGCATCAAGTCTGCACTAACCACACGTACTTGTGGCAAAACATGCAAACAAACACGCTCTGATAATTGATGCATTGTCTTTGAAACTGATCGGCCTACACCAGAGACAGCCTTCTTCATGGCCTAGTCTCATCACCGGTGTTAAGAGTCTTTGCAGACTTGATGCGTTGAAAAAAGGTTTTTATTTGGTGTTTGACCATCTTACCACCTCCTGTTTTATTGCCAGAAAGAGTCAAACCTCTTCTTATTTTTCATCGTTTTGTATACTGGCAATAAAGAGGTCCCAAAGAGACACCTCTAACACGTTTCCTGGTTTGTAACCGCGGGTTGTTTGGCACAAAGTCTTCTAATTTCACCGCATGCGCTGGGACCTTCCTGGAGCAGCACGTGGAGCGACGCGTCTGACACCACGCCAAACAACGTTCACTACGACCCGAAAACACGTCGGAGAACTACACGGCACAACCGCAAAACGCCTACGTGATATCAAATAAATACGTGTGTGTGTGTTGGGCAGTGGCCCTTAATAATTTCTGTGCTCTGGAGAAATAAGCATGACGGGACAAACCCAGTGCGATGTGATGCCTGACAAAACCGCTCGATTTTTACAAAATTCTATTTACTTACAGAAATGCATACGCATCCTGCCAAGGTGAGGATGATGAACAAAATCCAGCTGTACATGGAGGGACGTATCGACACAGCAGAGCTGGTCTCTCTGGATGCAGGTAAGAGCGTGGAAGGCGAGAACCGTTGGTCAGCGATCGCGTGGACTCCTCCAGACGTTGCTGGAAGGAATATGGATATCGAGGCTTCATGTGCTCGGCTGTCTGGCATGAGTTTAAGCTTTGTAAATGTAAAAAAAGTATTTTTTTATGAGTCGCACGTATTGAAATGTTTGGCGAGTGACATCGATAATATTTCTTAATTCTTTTTTTTCAGTGTTTTTGAGACACTGTTCTTTATCAAAATTTATTATGAATAGCCAAGCACATTTATTTATGGAAAATTTATTCTGCCCCCGATGACTTCTGAGGAAATAGTTTTGTGGAAAAATATATATGTAACGTTTACCAATTAGGCCTTTTGTGTGTTGATTTTTAACAGATTTTTTACCAAAATATTACGACCATATCGCTCGGAATGCTTTCGAATCTTGTCAGGACTCAGAAGCAAAGCACGTTTTGAGCCCGGACAGTGTTTTAATGGGTGGCTGCTGACCATTAAACAGGTGCTTATAAGCTGCTGCGGGGCTACGTTGCGGGCAGCAGGTGGCAGTGCAGAACCACACATTGTCCTGCTTCACATGCATGCTCCCACGTGCATACTGCCCGCCTTCCACTCTGCCACACCGATCGGCGTGGGAAAGTATGGTTAAAAAACAAAACCCTCATGCTTGCGGACGCTTTCGTCCAGCAGTTGATAGACCACAAGAGATGCGGATGAAATAACATTCATCATTTGGTGTTCAATCTCATTGCATCAACATGAATACCCTAATTTATATGAATATTTGTTTTTTTTAGATCAAGATCAAGCCGCAGCTGAAGAAAATCACTCTTCATAGTCTCAAGCAGGCTGTTGATGAACGCAAATAGCAAGCAGATATTGTACACAGCACGGCAGACTCAAACAGCCTAGAATGTGGTGCATCGCCACAGCAGGAGAACACAGCATAGTTACCTTCAGTTCCCTCCGGGGCGTTTGCCTCGGATGTGTAAATGCTCCAACTGAATTGGTCTCATTGTTGTGTTAAGGAGACCCTGCAGTGTCACGTAAAAATGTTGTTCGACCATTCCATCTTCTTCCTGGCATTGTTCCCGCTCGTGTGGGCTTGGCCCTATTCTCCACCCATCCCTGTCCTGAGCCAACATCTGAAGTATCTCTCATCACTTCCAGCCACCACCGCCCTCTGGGCCTGCCTCTCGGCCTCTGCCCAGGCACTTCCATGTTCGTCACCTGAATCCCCAAGTGGTTTCCTCTCTTCTTGTGACTTTTCCTAGCCACCTGAGTCAACGTTTTTTCAGGGTAGCAGAGCTATTGTGTGGGCCACCATGTGTGACAGTGATTCACGGCTAAGGAGGAGGTGTGAACTCGGGTTTTTATCCAAAGGGGCTTGTGGTGGTGCAGAGCCCACGCGTGCACCACACTAGCGCCGACCCTGCAGAACAAGGCATGGCAGATGTGATCAGCTGCTGGACATGGTGTGAAAAGAGCTTCATAGCTCATCGGATTCCTCCAGGATTTTTTAAGATTCTGATTTATTCATCGATGGAAAATTAAAAACAGGTCGCAGTGTGATTGCTGCAGTCACTACTAGACAGATCATGGGTCACATGATCCAGCACTGCCCGCACCGCCGATTCACAGACCCATGGGTCACATGATCCAGCACTGCCCGCACCACCGATTCACAGATCATGGGTCACATGATCCAGCACTGCCCGCACCGCCGATTCACAGGCCCATGGGTCACATGATCCAGCACTGCCCGCACCACCGATTCACAGACCATGGGTCACATGATCCAGCACTGCCCGCACCACCGATTCACATACCATGGGTCACATGATCCAGCACTGCCCGCACCACCGATTCACAGACCATGCCATACAAAAGATAGCAGGGCTGCGCCCGTTACCTTTCACTCCTGATGTGTGTGTGCTTTGGGGCTGAGACTGGAAAACTTGCACGCGCCCCATCGCAGCGCTCGCTGGCGTTAACGCAAAGAGAAGAAACTTCCGACCCCATGTGGAGCTGGGCTTAGCATGGATTACCACTGGCTGGGCCTACCACTGGCTGATAGCGTTTTATTTTACCAGGTGCAAGGCCCACTGAGCTACGTAGCCCTTTTTCAGAAGTGACCTGGCCACAAATGATAGCTCAAACGAGAAGTGCCTTATCGTGTGCGAATTTCTAGCAGCCAAATACTCTAAACGCGTGATGTTGATTCGAAATTTGGAGGGGAAAAACCGGAGGACCCGGAGAAAAATCAACGCGACCACGGGGAGAGAGAGAAGCATGCAAACTCCAAATATACAGGTGTTACGGTCGGGATCGAATCCACAACCTCCTGTATACCAGGCAAAGTATTTAACATCTTGCCACCGTGACTCATTCCATTCATTGTTCATTGTTATACAGGCATGTCGATTCATCATCATCCATGATCAGTCCACTGCTGGAGGAAGGCCTTGCCAAGCCGGTGCCTGCGTTGCAGTGATTCATCCAGAACCTACGCACCTATTATTGCCAATTCGTATCAAAGTTTTTGTACATATATTGGTAAAATATTAGTCAAACCTGTTATGCTAAAAACACAAATAAAAAAATGTGAACGTTATGAATTGTTAAGTGATAAGCTCTTAATTGTAATGCTTAAGTTTTTATTTTACCATTGCAGCGCGTCACTCGTCAGCGTGCGGACATTGAGTACATTTTAGTACGTGGCCGTGTTGGCTATATTAGCACATAACGTTTTTTAATAGATCAATGTGAAACATGTTATTGTTGGATGAACCGGTTTGTGTAGAAACTAATTTCTAACTTACGGAAAATCAAAAAGCATAATCAAATACAAACATGGTCCAAAGTTTCTTCCGTAAAAATTGACCGGTCAGTATTGTCGCCAACGTCTTCGTTACAGGTTGTCCTCACTTTGTGGTGGATGCATTCCAAAAAAACGGTGGCGCACGAAGCGAAATCGCGCAGCCACGGAGCGGCACGGTCACCCAACCCACAATGCGCCGCACGCGGAGACGGATGCCTTCCGATTAGCGTGGACAGTCCACACACACACACACTGTCGTGTCCCACATCTGACTGCACAGTCGCATACGAGTGCATTCGAACCACACAAAGCGAATTTTGGGTAGAAATAGATTAGCCGCGTGTATGCAACATCACACACAAACCGAACCCGCGCGTAGCGAGGGGAAAGCCGTTCTTGGCTTCTACGCTTGGCGGTTTGGGCATCGCCGGTGTTGCAGTCGGTGTGTGCCAGACGAGCGCTCGAGAGATTTCGCACGATGCAATATCCATCAAGGCCGTAGCCATGGAGTCAACATTGGGGGGGATCAAATCTCCCAGGGGGCCTGGGGGTCTCCCCCCCCCCAGAAAAAAATGGAAATTTGAAAACGAATTTCCTGCCTTAAATATAAAAAATTTCAGTAACACGTGGGATGGACTTTTTTATAACAATGGCTAATAGTGTATTGTATTACATTGCTGTTTTTTTACCTTTTCTTGTTTCATTGTATGTAATGGGATTAATAAAGTACAACCATAACCACAATCATATAAACAGAAATCTATTCATTGTCATATGAAGACAAGTCCAGATATTGTGGCCAAGGTTTAGCAACATAGCATAGCAATTATTTTTTTATATTTTTATAGCATTGGGGGGTACATTTTGAGCATATGTTATAATTACGGCCTTGATATCCATTGATGCTTGGGTCTGATCGCGAAAGTAAAATGTTGTGTCGTAAACCCTCCTCCACCCAACACAGCCAATGGATAAAGTTTGTCGCGTTAACAAATGTACTGATTTATTACTACTGCTGGGCACAATCCTGGCAGCTGCCTTTTGATGTTGGCTGTAACTACCCGTGAAACCTCTTCTCTGTTGTCAAATGTGTGTGGATCACTCTCCCACAATCGACTGGTGGTACTGCTGAAGCAGTAATATACTGGCACGTTTGTTCATCACGTGACAACTTTTTAAAAATCTTGAATCGTAGTGGTCGAGATATCATATCGATTACGGTGTCAAGGTTCGCAAAGCTAAGGATATCGAAAGTGAGATTTGTAATACATATTACCAACACTTATTTTGCTTGGTGTGAGGAGACTAACCATTTGAATGTTGGAGATTGTATATTTATTGTATATTTTGCAGTAAGTAGTTGAAATTAAACTATTCTTATGAATTGTATTTTGTTGCATTTACTTTCCTTTTTATAATTTAAGATACGCATCTTAAACATTCACATCCTCCAATTGTTTGTTTTTCGATTTTGTAGAATTATGTTAAGTTTTTTTAATATGCCAACATCTATCATTGCGTGTAAATGTCGCGTTGCTTCAGCTTGACGTTTTACACATTCCGCTTTTGCCTTGAGCACAGCGTATTTCAGGTACTTTCTCGAGATGGGCTAGCCAATTATTTAATTAATTACTCTCCAATTATGTTTGGTAAACCAATTACATGAGACAGCAGTTAAAAAATGTTTCACCTCTTATTCAGGCGTGCGACGATGGGCAGGTGATTGCTTTTGTGGTGTCATCAGCCGCATCACACTGGGCGGAGCTCTATGGGGTTTCACACCTTCCTAGAGGCAAGGTGTTGGGGTGGCCGTCATTTTTAAAGTCCTTGGATCTTGAGCTTGTTGTGGCACTTCATCGGGACCCAGTGGAGAGATCCGAGAGGGTGATGTTTCATTTGTGGGTGTGGGCGATGAGGACTCTTGCTGTGAGATTTAAATTTTTTCCGAGGCCTCAGGAAATTATTGCAGTCGGAGGTGACTCGGGTATGAGGGTCTTGGCTGTGGAGACACTAAACTTAGTAGAGATGTTGCACATGTGGAAGTTAAGAGCTCCTGCAGAGTTGGGATGCGTCGACAATTTAAGAATGTGGATGATCTTAGGGAGTTTTGCACCATTTCGGATAAGCACATTGAAGGTGAAATTTGTCACAGCACTTGTGTTTTGGATACATTTAACTGGGCAGAATCATACCAAGAAAAGACTGCATCACACTAACATTATCTGTAATGTTTTCTTTAAAATATTTCAAAATAAGCCATGAAGACAATCACAGGATTCTTAAATTATCAACGGAAATATTTTATTTTATACACCTTTTTTTATACAGATCCCCGTAACTATATCCATCGCTCACTGCACACACATTGCTTGATTACCAAATGAATGATACGATAAAAAGAATGCTGTACACTGTACATTATTTATTCGACTGCTTGTAGAATGCAAGCATCTCATCCAACTGGGTGGGTGGTTGTGCGGGCGTGTGTTGAGAGGAGTCGGATGTCCGTGGACCCTGGGTGGCCATACGGGGCAGCCTCTCGCTGCTGGGAAGGGTCCCCGCTTTGTTGCCACTGAAGTAAGTCGTGGGAGGGGCAAACTCAGCTGGTCGATCGCGTGGCAAACGCTGCTGGGACCCGTGCCCCTTCTGCCAGTCCTGCAACATGAAGTCTGCACGGAGGAGAAAATTATGAAGCTAAAATAAACTTTTTTTATTTTACCAGTTAAGGCCCACATGAGCTACGTAGCTCTTTTTCAGAAGCGACCTGGGCACAAATGATAGCTCAACGAGGAGTGGCTTATCGGGTGAAAATTTATAGCAGCCAAATACTCTAAAACAGATGTTTCTAAATGTGGAAGAGAAAAAAAACGGAGGATCCGGAGAAAAATCCACACGATCACAGGGAGAGTATGCACACTCCAAATATACAGGCATCAGGGACGGCATCGAACCCACGAGGCAGTTAACATCTTGCCACCGATGATGTTATAAAACCACCGCAATCAACGGAGTAAAAACTTCATTTCATGAAATAGGAACATGACAAAAAGCTCTCCAATGTTTTTTTCTGCTTCTGGACTAACACGTGTTGTTCGTGATGTGCGACGTTTCGCGAATCGTGCTGGGAGCTCTCCAGGAACTGCTGATTCGTTAGGATATGAAGCTGCCAGCAACGTGGATCAAAATATCAGACACTCAACAAAAGGTACAACCGACAAACACCATCGGCATAGCTGCAAAAACATACGCAGCAGTACCAACATGAGCAGTTATTTTTGTACTCAAGCAAAGTACATTTTAAAAAGTGTGACTTGAGTTAGTCATTTCAATATGCCAATTTTATTTTCTGCAGACAGCAGCACATGCCATCTATATCAGGTAAAAGCTCCATTTTAAGGCAGAACCGGACCTGAAGCAATGACCTTTATAGAGGTCAAGTGACCACACCACTATATGATCCAGCCTAATAGTACATGAACATCACAAGCATCAACAACTCTTTAGACTGTCATATATACTAGCGTTGATCATACTTGAACGTTCCGCCAACAAAGGCCACAAAAACCAGACAGTACGCAGCCCGATGCTTTTTGTCTTACCTTTGCCTTTGTCCCAATCTCGGACCCGTGGCATTTCTCCCTTCTTGGTGTCTCTTCTCACTTGTACCACGACGTCCACCTTCCCTGCACTCGGCCCTGGCTGGAGGACATCCTCTGCAGGCTCTGACCCAGCACGCACATGTTCTGTAAAACAAAAACGATTGAGGATATTTGTAGGGGTACACAGTGTCATTCAGATAACATTCAATAATTACAGCAATTAGACAAGTTAAAACGTGAGCGAATGTTCACCTTAAGTTCAGAAACAGTATTTTTTTTATAACCAATTAACATCGATTTTAAAATCCAAGTGCCCTTCACCATGTTCATGAATAATACAAATGCAGGCTCATCCTGCCACTGACTTGATTTGCAATTTAGTGGGGTTTTTTTAACTCTCATTCATGACATCTTCTATCGTGGACTGCTACGATTTGTTTGCACCTCAGTGCACAAAGCCTCAAAACTTTGGTGGATGCAAAGTCATCTCCGTAGGACGTAATCTATCCTGCAAGGCAGTGACCCGAGTGCTGGACAAAGTGACGACTGTTGCCAGAACACGGGAGGGCTAAAGCAGAGCTTAACATTCCATATAACAGCAGTTAGCAGAAGTTCAGCGCCCACTAATGGACACGATCAGAATCTTTTGAAAATAAAAATATAGATTCAAAATGTACTGAAAGCGATTGGTTTTTGCTTTTCATAATTCATGCACGAGAGAATCAAAATGTGCACATTTCTCTATTACCGCGCCGCAGAGGCGGTGTGTTTGAACCAACCTCCATCCAGCGTCTCTCCTTCAGGCCCATCCGTGCCAGGCTTCTTGCCCTTGCGTTGTCGCACTCGCTCCAGCCGGGCCTCCAACACGGCCTGCCGCTTTTCCTTCAGCTTCTCTCTCTTGGAGCGTTGGTCTAGTGTCTGTACAGAAGCAAACCACGCTTGGCGAGTGTACGCAGTGGGGGTGTAAAGCAAACGATTCGCCATTGGATATTCGCAAATATCAATCCCAGTACGGAACCAACTTAGCGCATAGTCATCCCTCCAGGGTCAATGAGATGGGCAACGAAGATTGTTCAACGACGCATTGATCAATCGATTCTTCATGTCCACGATACATCCAAACCACGTCTTGAAATGTTGTGAAATTTCCACAAATTACATGTCAAATGAATTTAACCAACTAGTTAAGCGAGGGAAAAACGCTACAACATCATTCCGGGTGATTTCCATAAAATGTTGGGTAAAGCTTCTCGGTTGGGAGGATGATTGTCGAGTTTGGCATCAGATTAAGGAGAATGAACATTAGAGTGGACATTTATTTTTAAATAATTGGAATCGAAATAATGGATGTGGAGGCACCAAAACGGAGAATTATAAATAACATTAAATTCACTCTCATGGATAAACCATCAAATTCAACACGAGCTATTTGAAAACGGGTTGGTGTGATGCAAAGGTTACGCTTCCATGCTTCGAAGCAGAGGACAACAGGGTAATTCCAGGCAAAAACAAGCAGCAACTGACTTGGGCAATCGACAGCGATCAGTCAGCCGGTGGGCAATGCAGAGGAACCATATTGGCCCACCTGATCACGCAGCATATCCAGGGTATCCATCTGTCTCTTGCGCTTGAGCTCATCCTTGGAAAACGCAAAGTAGCCGACGCCCAGATCTCGCACCTCTGTTTTGAACACAAAGAGGACGCTGCACATGCATACACAAACACCCGCACACGCTTGCGCATGCGAGCAAGCCTCTGGGACCAGTTTTGAACCTTTGACCCTATCAGAAGGGTCCGGCTTGTTAAACGCAATGCTACTCTGGGTTGCCAAATGTTACGACCCATGACGCTTGACAACAACGCAAGAACGAGTTTGTGCATAATGTTGATTATTTTTCGTTGACTAGGGTGCCGTAGCTTTGACGGGAGTGCTCCTGCCAATAACATCCAGCAATCTCTCCTCGTGGGCCTGTGTGCGTGTGTTCGCACCGTGCTCTCGGAGGTGTTCGTAGTGGATAGGACCAATTGGCTGTGCCCGGAGCTCCTCCTGCTCTTTCTCCCAGCGCTCGCGTTCCATCTCCTTTCGCATATCCTCCGACAGCAGAGTCCGTTCACCGGCCACGGGCCTGCCAGGTTACACACAAAGATTCATCAACAAAAATCAACAATGTATAATGAGTGGTCATTCACTTCCTGCCTCCCCGTTTGGAGAACAGCTCGTGTGTCATGTACATCCATTTACATGAGGGTACATTTCTATATGTATTAAAACAAGTTAAAAACCTGTATTCCGTGTAAAACCACTCAACATGAAAACATGTACAAAGAAATGTCATGTCACGTTGGGTAAATACACGTATGCGTGAATGCCCGTTAGCTAAACGTGGTGAAAAGAGGAATCTCACCCCCTGCTGCCAGCCAGCTTTTTGTCCATTTCCTGCAAGTCACGCAGGTCCTTCCTCAAGCAGCGTCTCGATCGGCCCAGCGAGTCCACAAAGTCAACCCTGCACACACATAAATCAGGTGCATTGACAATTGTCCATGCTACAAGATTGTTCTCCCCTCTCAATACTCACATCGACTGGCGTGTGCATTTAGAGACATGCACACGTCTGTGCAATGCTAAACTCCGTTTCATGTGTGTACACAATTTATGTATCTTAAGAAATACAATTCAATAGATTTTAAATGCAATTGCATTTTGTGATTTGTACTAAGTTTCAGGACATGCAGCATCACATGACGCACTGGAAGAAGCCACGTTTTTTAGTTGGTTTTACTTCAAATAGAGGAGACAGTTTACAGGCAGAGGAAAAGAGGAAGGCCTTGAGCCTGAACTTCAACCGGGGCAGGGAGTTGGTAGCATGGATGTCCAACAGCAGGGAATTACAGAACACGGGCAGCAATTATTAAACTAACTGAACTTTTTTATTTTACCAGGTAAGGCCCACTGAGCTAACTATTTTTCAGAAGCGACCTGGCTATCACAAATGATAAGTCAACAAAGATGCATATCATGTGGAAATTTACAGCAGCCAAATACTCTAAACGCATGTTTCTAAATGTGGAGGGGAAAACCGGAGCAACCGGAGAAAAATCCACGCAACCACGAGGAGAACATGCAAACTCCAAATATAAAGGCATCGTCAAGGTCGGGATCGAATCCACGACCTCTTGTATACAGCCGACAGAAAGACACGACTGACCAGCAATGCTAGATAATGCCAAATGAAATTACAGATTGAATTTAGAACATAACAGTTCACAAACCTAAGATAATTAATCTCGAAGATCACCTTCAGGAAACACCCATCCTAACCCGTTAAAAGGCTCTCACCATTCTTCACTCGGGTTTGATGGTGCTGGAATATCCTCATCTTTAGCCAACTCCTCCTCCTCCTCCAGTCCGTTTGGATGCCTGGCCCTGGTTGCCCCTTCGTCTGGGCCCACCACCACCTCCTCCTGCTCCCGGAGGCCACGCTGCACCACTGCGTCTTTTTGTTTGTTGAGAAACTTCTGAGTGAAGTCCACCAGGAACATCTCCTCTGCCTCCTCACCTTTCCAAGCCATCCAATATTAAACACACAAGATACATGTTACTCAAAGGGTTTATAAGAAAAACACACATGATTTAAACGTGAAAATGTACCAATGGAGGTAACTGCAGAAGAACAGGTTTGACTCGAACACACAATTCCCAAAGTGTCTGCAGTGTGAATAAGTGACTTCACACAAATTAAATTCCTTCAGTACTCCCAGATTTTGTAACTTTTCTCCCATGATGCAGTTCTGCAGCCTTAAATTAATACACATTTATTTCCATTTACACTGCATTGAATGTATTCACTCTTGAATGTCTACGAGTTAATGTGCTATTCTTATCTATAGATGAAACCATTTGAGATTTGGCGTGCTTGCTCATTGTGCTGGAAAACACTTTCATAAGGTGTATAAAACAGGTCAATGCACAACACACGTTATCTTACGTGCATATATTGCCTCCTTGCTTGTTTGTTATATACAGGGGCAGGGCCAGGATTTCAGGCCGGGGTGACATTCAACAAATTTTAATTTAAAAAATGATTAGAGTCCGGCTGTTGAACTAGACGCCATCGGTTGGCGACACACTCTGACAATGCAGTTGCACGGAGCCTGCCAGACCGAGTGTCGTACACTTATACGCAGAATGTCACCCCTGTCACCCCCCCTGGCTCTGCCCCTAGTTATATATGTGTGTTTATAATTTTAATCGACATCATGAATCAGAGTCCTGCAGTTGACATAGGACAAAGCAGTGGTGTTTTGTGGCCAGAGTTCACTCACTACCCATGACAGAACACCGGTGGTAAGGGACACGATCATGTATTATGGTTCTCCATACCAGGCAGGCCACCCTTCTCCATCTGGTCGTACAGCTTTGCTTTTTCTTCCAATTTCTCCCTGTAAAAATCACAAGAAGAATGACCAATGGTTGTTAATAATTAAGACCATTCAGGGGGAAAGAAAATAATCTCGAAAATATTACTTTTGCTGCTGTATGCCACAAAATAAACATTTAATTAATCGGTACTGTGGAGCATGTAATAAAATATTTAACCACTGATTCTCCTCATTAATGCAACTCCAAAAGGCAGCAGAGCAGGAAGATGGGAAGATAGGTAAGCATAAGTGGGCTGGGTTTGTTGAATGGGTGGGTAAACTATGCAGGATAGATAGTGAGACTGGAAAACTAGATATGCAAAGTAATTGGATTGGAGGGCAGCAAAGATGTGGTTAAATATTCGGAAGTTAGCCATATGTAACTTTGCTATTTTGACCTGCATGATTCACAACCTATACTTGAAGTACTCTTTCCTATAACATCAGTCAACTCAGCAGCATTCGTTTAACGGCCTGACTGATGATGTGGCCCAGAAAGATCAAACTGGTCCAGTTTCCCTGCTTTAATGCTCCTTGAAAACATGGGTAGAGAAGGCCACAAGGCTAATTGATTAATCTCACCTTGTGTTTTATGGTTTGCTCCAAAATAATTCATCTTAAAACATTCTTCACTTACATTGCCTTGGTGCAGTTTAGTTATTGAACATGTTCTGGTGTGTGAAGATGTACATAGTTCAATAACTGCCTGCTTTGCTTATAATTAAAGCACTTCAGATGTAGTCCAGGTCGCATTCATAACACGGTACAATGTTGATGACAATGCTAATGTTGCCGAGAGTTGCAACCTCTCCTAAATTATTTCCATCCCATTGAATTATCAAGAGAGGTGGTGGTGGTAGCTTGGGAAGTCCTTCATCCAGCCGTGGAATGAACATGCCTGCTCATGAAAAATCAAGGGAACTCCAACTGTGTTGAAGTGTAACCATAACTCACCTCGCCTTGTCCAAAGTCAATTCCTCCTCCGTCTTTTCCTTCTGGTCCTTCTCGGAACGTTCCGCAACACCCACATTCTGTTTGTTCCAAAGTCCTGGTTTCTAAAGCACAAGACCAAAGGCAACCAATAAAAGCACAGGTGACAACATTTACCCATGTCACTCTTGCAAATGAGACTTATCCTGGCTAAACATAATAAACTTGAAACAAGCTGGAAAACGTCTTAAATATATCATCCTTATGGTGGTACCCCGGGGTACCAAATAATAAAAAAAATGGCCGAGGCAATTAAATATTTTATTTCTGGGACAATATTTTTTTCCAGGGGTGAACTTCACTCCGCGACTGGGGTACCAATCAATCCGAAATCGGTGCCACTCCGCGATGTCGAAACGCAGCGAGGACGACCGCTCCGAGATCCTAAACGCTCGTACGCATCAGTGCATCGTGAGTACAGCTCATCCAGATGAGTCGATTGCCGCATCGCCGACCATCAACAGACTAGAACTGACTGCATCACGGACATTATGCGAGAGCCGGGGTACTATGGTACCCCTGGGTACCGCGGTTCATATATGAAAGGCACAAAACCATCCACTGGTGCAATTTTGTTACAAGATAACACTGAACCATAAGCGTAAAGGCCAGTATAGATCATTACTCTGAAATTGTGAAGATAAATATGCCAATTACCCACGATTGGTGGATTGATACGACTTTATTTTACCAAGTGAAAACCCAACATCGAGACTGACAAGTCCCTTTATGGGTGACCTGAGTCAACGAGTTACAACCAACAAGATACAATACAACCCAAACATGCAAAGCTAATACAACAGAAACTTAGCCCGTGTATTTTCACCTTGAAAACCATGACGACCTTAACCATACATGCTGTTATAAACGGGAGACACCAGCGAATATGTAATTTATCCTATTGTCTACCGAGATCAAGTATTCTGCTGCATACAAGCATACACTCATGGCCACGTTACCTTGATGGGAAGCCTTTGACTGGGAAGTCCTTGCTCTTGATGGATCTTCTCCTGCTTGAAAGACTCCTGCTTGCGGTAAAGCTCGGCCTTCAGGTCCACCAGCTGGAGAGAGAGGCGTCACGACACACATGGTGAGGATTGCACACAATCGTTTACAGCCTTCATACAGGGTTTTTGTTGGGTTAGATCACGTAAATAAAAATGCGTCGTTAAACCCGCCACCACCCGACACAGCCAGTTTAGTAAGGTTTGTCACGTAAACAGAACGTGCCAATTCGCTACCAGTACAGCACACCGGTGTGTTGGAGAGCAAAGCCACAACATTTACAATCTGAGTACGACGTTTCGCCAGTAATTACAACCAGCTTCATCAGGCGACAGCCAGATTTGTGGAGAAATCCTCCCGTCGCTTGCAAGCTCTTCTTGCGCGAAGTGGGGTGGGGATTAATTAATGCATATAAATGATTATGGGTACCCATTGCTGGTTGGGTTATTTATATGGTAATCAACGTGCATTATGCATGCGCATTATGTACGCCAATTATTCTTGTAACTCCTTTAGATTGTGTGCACTAAAATAGCAGTACCTGTTAATGTCCAACGGTAACCCCTATTGAAGTATGGTGACCTGTTTCGGCATGCATTTAAGAAACGTACCTTCTCGTAGTGATACCCTTCCACCACTCGACTCCACACATGCGAATGTATACACCATACATTGTATGGTGCGAAAGAAGTTCAACATACATAAATGACGATTGTGTTAATGGCAATCAACGATAACGACCTTCGATATAACAATGGCGTTAGTATTGATGGGGAAGATACTGTCCTCGTGATGCCTGATCGTACTCATCATCATGATCATGATCTATACATGAATGATGACAATGGTTCCTAAGCCTTTGGGCCGCGAGGCGGGGTAAGAAACACGACGACATACCGAGGACGCGTTCACTTTGAACACGATCTTCTTCGTCTTCTTGTCCATCGTCACGAGCAAATCACAAAGTAAACAATCCCCGCTCGTCAGCCACCACACACGTGAGGGGCTGTCCGGGGGACAGAATCACGGACTTCTCCCACCCCCCCGTGTACACGCCTTCACAGACTGTAGGGGCAAAGTGCTGTTAGCGAGCACCTGATGTAGACCGGCACGGCACACGAGGGGGTGGGTGGCCAGCAACCACGTCCGGCCGCCTTTGTCTCCCCAGTGGCGATGTTTACTGCACACCGCACCAGGTACTCATTTGAGGCCGAGTCGACCTAGGGGAGGCCCAGGTACCGGTACAGATCGTCGTCACGATCGTGAGCGGAGATCAAACTCGGGCCGCCGGGCTTCGTACCGCGAACCGCTCCCTACTCAGCTACCCCCTCGACACCCCCCCCTCGACACGGACTCCCCCCCCCCCTCGACACGGACTCCCCCCCCCCCCCCCCCTCGACACGGACCCCCTCGCGACACGGACCCCCCTCCACACGGACCCCCCGCGACACTGACCCCCCTCGACCCCCTACACGGCCCGAACCGCCACCACCACCACAGGGCTCCCGTAGTCGTCCCCACGGGGCGCCATCTTGCTACTCCCACACCCCCTGATTGGTTCCCGCGGCCGCGCGTAGATAAAACGCCGCATTCCTATTGGTTGGTGGGCAGGAGAGAGGAGGTGTGGGGGGAGGGCAATTGAGTGTTGTCCGGGTACGGGTCGCCGGGCGGATTCCGTTGCCGCGAGCGCGATTCGTTATTCGTGGTATACAGGTTTTTTTATGGATTACGAAAAAATAAGGATGTTTTACTCTTTCTGGCAATAAAAGAGGTGTTATGATGTTCAAACACCAAATAGAAACCTTTTGCAAGGAATAAAGTTCGAATTATCCTTGCAAAAGGTTTCTGTTTGGTGTTTGAACATCTTAACATCTTATTCTTAGTTTTTTCGGTAAAGTCACGTTGAAGAGAAACAACAAAATAACAAAATATATATAAAACAATAAAAAAATTCTCACGACGTTTCGACCATAACTCAAACGGTCATCATCAGGACACACAACGTCATGAGAATGTTTTATTGTTTTATATATATTTTGTTGTTTCTCTTCAACGTGACTTTACCGAAAAAACTAAGAATATGAATTACTGCAGTCACGAAAGCTTTAAATCAAAATCTTAACATCTGTTTTAATGCCAGAAAGGGTAAAACCGATTCTTTGACTTAAAACTTCTGTGACTGCAGGAGGCTTTCGCTTCCATCTCCATATATAAAAGGCAAAGTTGTCAATATGTGTGTCTGTTCAAAATGTTTAGCGTACTTCCCGACATGCAACAAACTTGAAATTTGCCATGTGGGTACTTTCCAGACTGTACACCATGCAAAAATTATAAAAATACACTTTTTTTTGGGGGGGGGGGGGGAGTTCAATAATGCATTTTCAACCGAGAAGATGGATTCTGGCTTAGTAACCATTGGAAAGATGTTTTAAACCATTTCGGTTCTTAATTAATTGTATTTTACGATGACCTTCAGACCGCAGCTCTTTCGCCAGCATTGACTCTTAATACCTCTCACACCACGGTTAATGGTATGGTTTACAACATGGAGTATACTAGGGCCTCGCAGCTGTCTCTCTCCCCCTCCTCTGTTCCGACCATGGATGAACTCGTCCGTCTGAACGGGGCCCGTAGCTATCCGTGGTGCTGAAGTTGAGGGTAAGAATCCACCCATTTTTTTCGCCATATAGCATTGTGATATATAACGACTTATTGTTGGTAGCTTAGCTGATTGGAGAATATATAGAGTTTATTGATAACATGGAGGTAATTTATATTTTAGTTTTATTGGTTTACTATATATTCATTATATAGTATTCATTCATTATATAGTGTAGTGTATACCTAGTTACTGTTAATAGCTCAGCTTATTGAAGAATATATTGAGTACATTTATTCTATTGATTTAATTTAGACTTAGGTTTTTTCACATCGGTTTACTATATGATAGTCGAGTTGTTGCAGCCCCTTTGTCGTTCATGTACTAGGTGCCTCTGTAGATGTGTATGCTTTGACTTTAACATAACTATTTCTATGACCAGTCACAAGCTAATCACTCAGCTATTTCAATGCTAAATTCTATGCTAATTCCTTTGTCAAGGGGTGCCTCTGTGGATGTGTATGCTTTGACTTTAACATAGCCATTTCTATGACCAGTCACAAGCTAATCACTCAGCTATTTCAATGCTTAATTCTATGCTAATTCCTTTGTCAAGACGCTCTGTTTCTTCTCACACAGCTTAAAGGTCGCGGTCTGAGCTTGGCTGTGTTCGCTCCAGCGCTGTCCTCCAGACAGTCTCGTCCCTTCACCTGATGAAGGCCACTTGTGTTGTGGCCGAAACGTCGTGAAAATTTTATTGTGTTATTTTATTTTATCAATTTATGTTATTCTCATTCTACGTGACTTTACCGAAAGAACCAAAGAAGAAGATGGACAATTGTTGCTCGGAATTATATATTATAAAATTTGTGAAAATTTGAAAAATTGTAAAAGTTGTTTTAATTTAAAAATGTCTTGCAATTTTCAATGTTATTGAAAAGATATATCATATATGAAAAATGTTGCGAGAGTCTCTTACAAATTAGTCATGGGTGAAATAAATATATTTTTGTAGGATGGTACAGAGGGGAAAAGAGAGCCATGAAGTTAGCTATCCCCAGAATTTGGCGGGAACCCACCGACCACTCAAGCAACTGCTGCTTCTGCATGGTGGACCCTTCCAAACATCGGACTGGCAAGAATGCACCTGCCATCACGTATCCGGACCTGCCTTCATCCATCGCCCCGGTGCCACACTGCCATGAGCTCCCCGTACCCACTCCTCCGGAGAGAGAGCAGCCGTCTTTAGAAGAGAGCAGCAAGTCAGAGAGCGAGGAAGACGTTGTAGATCCAGATGACAATTTCAGAGGTGGAGCTGAGGAGAGAAACCCATACTACACCAACCAAAAAGACCTCAACGACTTGATCAGAAATCTTGGTCTCACCAAGTCCAGTGCCGAGCTTTTGACATCTAGGCTCAAGCAGTGGAACTTGTTGGATGAAAGTGTGCAAGTTGCAGATCAGAGGAAGCGTCACCAACCTTTTGCAGCTTTTTCACCCGTCAAGATGGGCTCTGCTTCTGCCACAATGTGACCAGTCTGTTCGAGGCAATCGGAATTGCCTGTAACCAGAATGAGTGGCGCCTCTTCATTGACAGCTCATCCAGGAGCCTCAAAGTCGTGCTGCTCCATAATGGTAACAAGTACCCGTCTCTTCCTCTGGCTCACTCGGTGCACCTCAAAGAGGATTACAACAGCATCAAGAGGTCATCGGAGACTTCAAAATGGTGGTATTCCTGATGGGTCTCCAAGGTGGTTTTACCTAGTTTCCCTGCTATCTTTGCCTTTGGGACAGCAGGGACACCAGGATGCACTACCACAGGCGGGACTGGCCACAGCGGACCGAGTTCTCTGTGGGGAGGAACAACGTCAAGTGGGAGCCACTGGTGGACCCCCGGAAGGTGCTGATGCTACCACTGCACATCAAATTTGGTCTCGTGAAACAATTTGTCAGAGCTGTAGATAAGGAGTCGGCAGCCTTCAAGTACTTTCAAGACCTCTTCCCTAAGCTGTCTGAGGCAAAGGTCAAAGACTGTGTCTTCCTCGGACCACAGATAAAGAAGATCCTGGAGTGCAATGAATTCCCCAAGAAGCTCACTATTAAGGAGAAAGCGGCTTGGGACAGCTTTGTCGCAGTGGTTCGTTGCTTCCTGAGCAATCACAAGGTCGAAAACTGTGTAGAGCTAGTTGAGACTCTGGTGATGAACTACAGCACAATGGGCTGTAGGATGTCCCTCAAAGTCCATATCCTTGATGCTCATCTTGATAAATTCAAGGAGAACATAGGAGCGTACTCGGAGAAGCAAGGCCAGCGCTTCCACCAGGATATACTGGACTTTGTACACCGCTACCAAGGTCAGTATAACGAGAACATGATGGGAGACTACATTTGGGGGCTAATTCGTGAAAGTGATTTACAGTATACTCACTCCAGCGCTGTCCTCCAGACAGTCTCGTCCCTTCACCTGATGAAGGCCGCTTGTGTTCTGGCCGAAACGTTGTGAGAATATTGTGTTATTTTATTTTATCAATTTATTATTTTATTCTCATTCTACGTGACTTTACCGAAAGAACCAAAGAAGTATAATCGTAAATATCGAAAAACTACTAATTTCTAAATCTTTTGTAGTATTTTTTGTATTACTTTGGTTCATAGTTTTTTTCTGACTTTATGTGAACGAAAAGACACAAATTCGCCCTTTTTCTCATTGAAAATAAGTACATTTCAAAATATCACTGTCCTAAGCAATTACGAAATAACACTTACTACCCAGGAACAAAAAATATGTTACATAGTGTAATGCATCGGTTTGTTTGGGGGAATATATCGTTTTGATTGCTGCATTGGCCCATAGAATAGCGAAGCTGTTGATGCATTTTCAACCAATGGTAGTGGACACTGGGTTGGTGGCACGTATGCACTTGTTGACATTCAGTGCATTGTGATCGAGTGGTTGTCACCACTAAAATCGCAAGATATCCGTATATATACACATAGGTCTCAAAACCCTCCAGGGTACTTTCCGACAAGGTAGAATTCTGAAATTTGGCATATAGGTAGCTTTTAGTACACAAACCACAGGGAATATCTGAAAATCCGAGACTTTTTCACTTGAAGGCCCCCAAATCTCGATTGTAAGTGCCCCATGAGCATGTTTGTGCGTGGTGTCATTCAGCAGCCGTTCAACATATAAGATGGCGAGATGTTTTCTCGTTTTTTTTTATAGAGCATTAAACAACAATTACAGCGAGTACCATTGGTTCCATATTGTATTGTTTTTCAGGTATTTCGGATTCAAGTTGTTTTGAATGAAAAAATACACATTTTATTATGTTCAAATCTGAAGAATTCGAAGACGGTAAAAGATAGAAGATTTTACCCTCATAGAGTTTTTAGTTAATTAATGTTTGTTCGTTCTAACAAACAAAAAACGAACGCGATCTTTAAATTGAGCGATTTCCGATGGGTATATCTTTAAATATAAGAAACTAGCTGTACTACCCGGCTTCGCCCGGGACTTGGATTCACCACGCCCGCCGCCTTTGTCTCCCCAGTCGCGATGTTCACACAGCAGAGCAGTTACTCATTTGATGCTGAGTCGACCTAGAGGAGGCCCAGAAACGGTAAAAATAACCGTCTCCAGTGGTGGCCGTGAGTGGGAATCGAACTCGGGTCGCCGGGTTCGTAGCGCGGCACGCTAACCACTACACTACAATGCGTTACGCTTCCACATGCGCGGGTCACATGACAGATTTGACGTCACAGCTCACTTGCCGTGCAAAAAATAAATGCATTATTTAGCTCCCCCCCCCCCCAAAAAAGTGTATTTTTGCATGGTGTACAGTCTGGAAAGTACCCACATGGCAAATTTCAAGTTTGTTGCATGTCGGGAAGTACGCTAAACATTTAGAATAGACACACATTCACAACTTTGCCTTTTATATATATGGAGATTTAATCAAGTCGTCAACAATTTTTTTTGCGGAAAAATCTTTTTTTATTAGTTTTTAGTGTCTTGTTGTAGATCAGACACTAAAAACATCTCCATATCAGGTTAATTATTATATTTATTGAGAACTTTAGCCTGGCGAAGACAGGCTTTATGAACGACTGTCGTATTTAAAAGCCTCTCGCTGACTGAAACCTCCGCATTGGCGCCGCCTGGTGACTACAGTGGAGCAAACTGGTCAATGTCACGATTTCCCCCAACTTTGGCAGCCCTGGTTAATGTCACGATTTCCCCAACTTTGGCAGCCCTGGTCAATGTCACGATTTCCCCAACTTTGGCAGCCCTGGTCAATGTCACGATTTCCCCAACTTTGGCAGCCCTGGTCAATGTCACAATTTCCCCAACTTTGGCAGCCCTGGACAATGTCACGATTTCCCCAACTTTGGCAGTCCTGGACAATGTCACGATTTCCCCAACTTTGGCAGCCCTGGACAATGTCACGATTTCCCCAACTTTGGCAACCCTGGTCAATGTCACAATTTCCCCAACTTTGGCAGCCCTGGTCAATGTCACAATTTCCCCCAACTTTGGCAGCCCTGGACAATGTCACGATTTCCCCCAACTTTGGCAACCCTGATCAATGTCACAATTTCCCCCAACTTTGGCAGCCCTGGTTAATGTCACGATTTCCCCAACTTTGGCAACCCTGGTCAATGTCACGATTTCCCCAACTTTGGCAGCCCTGGACAATGTCACGATTTCCCCCAACTTTGGCAGCCCTGGACAATGTCACAATTTCCCCCACCTTTGGCAGCCCTGGACAATGTCACGATTTCCCCAACTTTGGCAGCCCTGGTCAACGTCACGATTTCCCCAACTTTGGCAGCCCTGGTCAATGTCACGATTTTCCCAACTTTGGCAGCCCTGGTCAATGTCACGATTTCCCCAACTTTGGCAGCCCTGCCATCCATCACTTCCTTCCTGTTCAGCCATCAATCGCCCTGGAGCAACTCCGCCAATTTCTTATTTTGGTTCGGTCTCCTTCAACAACCTCCACGTGGAAACTGTTGTCAGACCCAACTTTGGGTCTTCGACCTTCCACGAAGCTTATCGGCTAAAACCCCTAAACCGCATCCACTGCACAAACCACGGCAGCAGATGCGGATACCTGATGATGATGATGCACAAATGGAAAATTAACAACTCTCTGGAAGTGTGCAACTGTGGTTACTGTGGTTACTGTGGTTACCATCCACAACAGACCATGGAATTCACAACGACTACATGCCCGATTGACAAATAGGAAGGAGACAATCGCAGCGATGCACTACTCCGAACTTCTCGTGCAATTGTATGATCTCATTCACTTCCTCAATTTTAAAATGGCAGTTACTGCTCTTCATCAACATCAGACCCATAGACTCGCATAGAGACCCATAGACTCGCATAGAGACCCATAGACTCGCATAGAGACCCATAGACTCACACAGAGACCCATAGACTCACACAGAGAATCACACACCCAGAGATCTATATATTGATACTGAACTCATACATCCAGAGACCCAGACTCACAAAGCCATCTATAGATCCACACTGATACCTATACATGGAGAAGACCCACAGACTCACACATATACATGAAGTTATATAGATTCACACCGAGACCTTCAGACTCGCAGACACCCATAGACTCACACAGACGACGATATGAAGGAGGTATCGGAGGGATGCACTGTTCTACACCCGCAGCATGGCTCTTGCTGATTAACCACCTCACTGCAACAGCTCTGTTCTTCACCTGAGGACGGCTGCTTGCGTTGTGGCCGAAACGTCGTGAGAATTTTATTTTATTATGTTTCATTTTTATTTCTAGATTTGAAGCTTTCGTGACTGCAAGGATTCATACTCTTTGGTTTTTTCGGTAAAGTCACGTAGGTAAAATAAAATAAATTAAAGCAACTAAATTAAATCGCGACGTTTCGGAGGCAACACAAGCTTCCATCTTCAGGTGGAAACCGTCACAGCAAAATTGCTGTGTCAAGTGCGGTATCAAGTGGCCGAAAGGTCGTAAGAATTTTATTTTATTATGTTTTATTTTATTATTTTATTATTTCCCCTATAACATTATCGTAGTTTATCTCGATCAACATCTGCCGTGTGAAAAAGACCTCATATAGAGTAGAAGCACACCCACAAGGAAACTCCGATACTCATTCAGTACTTTGCAACATCGTAATCCTTTATTGAAATCTGCAGCAAATAAAAATAATTTACCAGGTACCACATTTCTCTGTGTCAGGGGGGGGGGGGGGTGGGGAGAGTTGCTTTCGATGTGTCGTTCAGCAGGTTAAGTCGCGCGTGCGCGTGCGTCGAAGCGCGTGCACACACACACACGTGCACCCACACACACACGTGCACGCGCGCGCTCGCTCAAAGTCGCCCCGTCGTCGTTTACGGCCATCAGTGCTTCTTGATGCAGCGCATGGACTGCACGGTAGGGCTCGTGGCCCCCCACTCGCTGCACTTGTGGTAGTCGCCCTTCTCCAGCAGGTACTGGCGCCCCTTGTAGTGGGGCTCCTCGTGGGCCACCCACGCGCCGTCAAAGACGCGCACGGAGTGCGTCTCGCGCCGGCGGAATCGCTCGAGCAGGCATGGGCAGTCGTCGGTGAGCTCCATCGCCTGACCGCCGAAGTCCTCGCTCTCGTAGAGGGCCACGCGGTGCTGCTGGGGGCGGTCCGCCTGTTCCGGTTGGAGCGCGCGGGGAGTTGAGAGAGAGTGTGAGAGAGAGAGTGAGAGGGAGTGTGAGAGGGAGTGAGAGAGTGTGTGAGAGAGTGTGAGAGAGAGTGAGAGAGAGAGTGTGAGAGAGAGTGTGAGAGTGTGAGAGGGAGTGTGAGGGAGAGAGTGAGAGGGAGTGTGAGAGAGAGAGTGAGAGGGAGTGTGAGGGAGAGAGTGAGAGGGAATGTGAGAGGGAGTGAGAGAGAGAGAGTGTGAGAGAGTGTGAGAGAGAGAGAGTGAGAGATATTGTGAGAGAGTGTGAGAGAGAGTGTGAGAGTGTGAGAGAGTGTGAGAGATTGTGAGAGATTGTGAGAGGGAGTGTGAGAGTGTGAGAGGGAGTGTGAGAGAGAGCGAGAGATAATGAGAGTGTGAGCGGCAGTGTGAGAGTGTGAGAGAGAGTGTGAGAGAGAGTGTGAGAGAGTATGAGAGAGAGAGTGTGTGAGAGAGAGTGTGAAACAGAGTGTGTGAGAGAGAGAGGGAGTGAGAGAGACTGAGAGAGAGTGTGAGAGAGAGTGTGAGAGAGAGAGAGTGAGAGATATTGTGAGAGAGATTGTGATAGAGAGAGAGTGAGAGGGAGTGTGAGAGTGTGTGAGAGTGTGAGAGAGTGAGAGAGTGTGAGAGAGTGTGAGAGGGTGTGAGAGAGTGAGAGAGAGAGTGTGAGAGAGTGAGAGTGTGAGAGGGAGTGTGAGAGTGTGAGAGAGTGTGAGAGTGTGAGAGAGAGTGTGAGAGAGTGAGAGTGTGAGAGAGAGTGTGAGAGAGTGAGAGTGTGTGAGAGAGAGTGTGAGAGAGTGAGAGAGTGTGAGAGAGTGTGTGAGAGAGTGTGAGAGTGTGAGAGAGTGTGAGAGTGAGAGAGTGTGAGAGAGTGTGTGAGAGAGTGTGAGAGTGTGAGAGAGTGAGAGTGTGTGAGAGAGAGTGTGAGAGAGTGAGAGAGAGTGTGAGAGAGTGAGAGTGTGTGAGAGAGAGTGTGAGAGAGTGAGAGTGTGTGAGAGAGAGTGTGAGAGAGTGAGAGTGTGTGAGAGAGAGTGTGAGAGTGTGAGAGAGTGAGAGTGTGTGAGAGAGAGTGTGAGAGTGTGAGAGAGTGTGAGAGAGAGTGTGAGAGAGTGTGTGAGAGAGTGTGAGAGAGTGTGTGAGAGTGTGAGAGTGTGTGAGAGAGAGTGTGAGAGTGTGAGAGAGTGTGAGAGAATGAGAGTGTGAGAGAGAGTGTGAGAGTGTGAGAGAGTGTGTGAGAGAGTGTGAGAGAGTGAGAGTGTGTGAGAGAGAGTGTGAGAGAGTGTGAGAGAGAGTGTGAGAGAGTGTGTGAGAGAGTGTGAGAGAGTGTGTGAGAGTGTGAGAGTGTGAGAGAGTGAGAGTGTGTGAGAGAGAGTGTGAGAGAGTGAGAGAGTGTGAGAGAGTGTGTGAGAGAGTGTGAGAGTGTGTGAGAGAGAGTGTGAGAGAGTGAGAGTGTGTGAGAGAGTGTGAGAGAGTGAGAGTGTGTGAGAGAGTGTGTGAGAGAGAGTGTGAGAGTGTGTGAGAGAGAGTGTGAGAGAGTGAGAGTGTGTGAGAGAGAGTGTGAGAGTGTGAGAGTGTGAGAGAGAGAGTGTGAGAGAGTGAGAGTGTGTGAGAGAGAGTGTGAGAGAGTGAGAGAGTGTGAGAGAGTGTGTGAGAGAGTGTGAGAGTGTGAGAGTGTGTGAGAGAGAGTGTGAGAGAGTGAGAGTGTGTGAGAGAGAGTGTGAGAGAGTGAGAGTGTGTGAGAGAGAGTGTGAGAGAGTGAGAGTGTGTGAGAGAGTGTGAGAGAGTGAGAGTGTGTGAGAGAGTGTGAGAGAGTGAGAGAGTGTGAGAGAGTGTGAGAGAGTGTGAGAGAGTGAGAGAGAGAGAGTGTGAGAGGGAGTGTGAGAGTGTGAGAGAGTGTGAGAGAGTGAGAGAGAGTGTGAGAGAGTGAGAGTGTGAGAGAGTGTGTGAGAGAGTGTGAGAGTGTGAGAGTGTGTGAGAGAGAGTGTGAGAGTGAGAGTGTGTGAGAGAGAGTGTGTGAGAGAGTGTGAGAGAGTGAGAGAGTGTGAGAGAGTGAGAGAGAGTGTGAGAGAGTGAGAGAGTGTGAGAGAGTGAGAGAGTGTGAGAGAGTGTGAGAGAGTGAGAGAGAGTGTGAGAGAGTGAGAGTGTGAGAGAGAGTGTGAGAGTGTGAGAGAGTGAGAGAGTGTGAGAGAGTGTGAGAGAGTGAGAGAGAGAGTGTGAGAGAGAGTGTGAGAGAGTGAGAGTGTGAGAGTGTGAGAGAGTGTGAGAGTGTGAGAGAGTGTGAGAGAGTGAGAGAGAGTGTGAGAGAGTGAGAGAGAGAGTGTGAGAGAGTGAGAGTGTGAGAGTGTGAGAGAGTGTGAGAGTGTGAGAGAGTGTGAGAGAGTGAGAGAGAGTGTGAGAGAGTGAGAGTGTGAGAGAGAGAGAGTGTGAGAGAGTGAGAGAGTGTGAGAGAGTGTGTGAGAGAGAGTGTGAGAGTGTGAGAGTGTGTGTGAGAGAGTGTGAGAGTGTGAGAGAGTGAGAGAGAGAGTGTGAGAGAGAGTGTGAGAGAGTGAGAGTGTGAGAGTGTGAGAGAGTGTGAGAGTGTGAGAGAGTGTGAGAGAGTGAGAGAGAGTGTGAGAGAGTGAGAGAGAGAGTGTGAGAGAGTGAGAGTGTGAGAGTGTGAGAGAGTGTGAGAGAGTGAGAGAGAGTGTGAGAGAGTGAGAGTGTGAGAGAGAGAGAGTGTGAGAGAGTGAGAGAGTGTGAGAGAGTGTGAGAGAGAGTGTGAGAGTGTGAGAGTGTGTGTGAGAGAGTGTGAGAGTGTGAGAGTGTGTGAGAGAGAGTGTGAGAGAGTGAGAGAGAGAGTGTGAGAGAGTGAGAGAGTGTGAGAGAGTGAGAGTGTGTGAGAGAGAGTGTGAGAGAGTGAGAGTGTGAGAGTGTGAGAGAGTGTGAGAGTGTGAGAGTGTGAGAGAGAGTGTGAGAGAGTGAGAGTGTGTGAGAGAGAGTGTGAGAGTGTGAGAGAGTGTGTGAGAGAGTGTGAGAGTGTGTGAGAGAGAGTGTGAGAGAGTGTGTGAGAGAGAGTGTGAGAGTGTGAGAGTGTGTGAGAGTGTGAGAGAGTGAGAGTGTGAGAGAGAGTGTGAGAGAGTGAGAGAGAGTGAGAGTGTGAGAGAGAGTGTGAGAGAGTGAGAGAGAGTGTGAGAGAGTGAGAGTGTGAGAGAGAGTATGAGAGAGTGAGAGTGTGTGAGAGAGAGTGTGAGAGAGTGAGAGAGTGTGAGAGAGTGTGTGAGAGAGTGTGAGAGAGTGTGTGAGAGTGTGAGAGTGTGAGAGAGTGTGAGAGAGAGTGTGAGAGAGTGTGAGAGAGAGTGTGAGAGAGTGTGAGAGAGAGTGTGAGAGAGTGTGTGAGAGAGTGAGAGTGTGAGAGAGTGTGAGAGAGAGTGTGAGAGAGAGTGAGAGAGAGTGTGAGAGTGTGAGAGTGAGAGAGAGTGTGAGAGAGTGTGTGAGAGAGTGTGAGAGAGAGTGTGAGAGAGAGTGTGAGAGAGTGAGAGTGTGTGAGAGAGAGTGTGAGAGAGTGAGAGTGTGAGAGGGAGTGTGAGAGTGTGAGAGCGAGGTGAACCCCCCCCCCCCCCCCCCCCCCCCGCTGGAGTGGTCGTGCGCTGCTGCAGAATCGAATCCGGCTGTCCGAGTTCGATTCCCGCTCACGGCCAATCGCCACTGACGATTATCTGAATCTGTCCTAGCCGCCCCCCCCCCCATTGTCGACTCAGTATCAAATGAGAAGTACCAGGTGCGATGTGTACAAATCGCAACTAGGGAGACAAAGGCGGCCGGGCGTGGTGGTGGCCACATCACCCCCTTTGGTGGAGGAGGAGCAAGCATGGCCAGGGATGACGTTACGTGAGGAGTAGCACACCTTCACGAATTCTCCCTTCCTCTGTCTCTCTCTCTGCCGAAGCCCTCTCGTCGTGGCCGGCAGCAGAACCTCAACATTGGGCATTCAGCGCCTGCACACACTTCGCCTCTGGCCACCTGGCACTACGGGTGGCTGACGCTACTCTGCCTGCCGGGCTTCTGAGGTCAGTCCGGGTTAAGGGAGGCCGCACTCTGGGTGGTTTCAATCAAAGGCAAAATGTGCCTCCGTACCACGTCGGTGTCGTATATCATATAGATGTAGATCGCCTGCTGCTCAGAGAAGTGTTTTCAGAGGTGGGGGGACACTTTCGCCGAGAAGACATCGCCAGTGTGATGGCCGCCACGCACTTGAAACCATTTGGGGGTTTGGCAGCAGCAGCACGATGATGGTGATGATGGTGATGATGATGATGGGTGGTGGTGGTGTTTTCACCACTTGTGTATTGTCGGAGCCCGCTTCGTCAGGGGCCGCACTAAAGGCCACCAGGGCCGCCAGTTTGGCCCGCGGGGCCTTGCAACTGTGATGCCGCCGCCACGGAGCCGATCGGCGGGTGGCCCACCTGCGATCTCGCCGCCCCGAGCGGCGAGGCCGACATTGCTCCACCCCACCACCTCCTCACCCCCCCCCCCCACCGGAACACACACGCACGCACTCCCCCCACCATTAGAGCGCGTGGGGAGACACCCTGGCCGACAGGTTTTCACCCAGAAGCCCTCGTAAAGGGATAATCTTCACGGTTTCCTGCGGCCAGGGAATTGGACGGTCTCCCCCGACGCTAACACCCACCGTGGCGCCGTGACTCGAGTGGAAACGACGTGTCCACAGCGGGGCTGCCCCGCCACCGCGGTTAGTACGCACCTCACGCACACGGGTCGGCAGGGCAGGTAGGGGGGAGGGCAGAGCCACGAGCGGCGGGAAAGCAGGGCCGCCCTCCGGCTGGAGGGCCGCTGAGCAGGTCAATTTAGATGCGGACGTCGCTGAAAGCAACGGCCCGGGGGATGCTGGGATACAGATGGGCCTACCGATTGGCGGGTGATCCCAGCGAGCTGATTGGCCCGCGAGTCGGCACTAGGTAGCCCCTTTGATGTAGAAAGAATAAAGCGGGTCAGGGCGAAGGGAAAAAGTTCTCTGGCTACTCGAGTCAACCCCAGGCCCGTCAAATCCCGAGTCCAGCCGCGCGAACGTCCGTGGGACGTATCGACGCGCCGCGAGGACCAGCCGGCAGTGACGACGAACCGTGAGTAAGAGAGAGAGAGAAAGAGGGAGTTGGGACTTAGCTTAAGAGGAAAACCGGAGAGGGTAAAGGGGAGGACAGGTAGAGTGTAGTGCCGACTATCGAGAGATAGATTGGTCCTGCCCCGCTGATCCCGACTGACTCGGTTAAATAAGGGCTCGCCGACGCGGTGGAATAAATCGTCGGCGGTTACATAACGGACTGGTGTGGTTTTTGCGAGGGTGCGGAAAGAGGGCGGAAGCGTGGGTGCGCTTGCTGTCGCGGTGGTCGTTACATAACAGACTGGTGTGGTTTTTGCGAGGGTGTGGAAAGAGCGGAAGCGTGGGTGCGCTTGCTGTCGCGGTGGTCGTTACATAACAGACTGGTGTGGTTTTTGCGAGGGTGTGGAAAGAGAGTGGACGCGTGGGTGCGCTTGCTGTTCTCGGTGGTCGCCGCGTGTGTGGAGCGGCGCCGCGTGGATTGTGTGCGCTGCAAACCGTCGGCTGCGGACTCCCACGTTGCGAGCGGATACCCGTCTCGCACGCATGCCCATCGCATAGCCCTTTAAACCCGTTTAAACCAATCCCCCCAAGCGTCGGAGTGAGCACGAACGACGTCGCTTACCCTCCGACCTTTAACCCCCCTGTTACCCGCGTGTGATTGGTGCGTGGGACTGCGCGGGCGGGGAGCGTCGCGTTTGGGTGCCGGCGAAGCGCTAGCGGGCCCCAGGGCGGGCGAGTGTGATGCCTCACCGGCCGGAAACCCGGACTCGGGGGGGGACAGCACAGGGGGGGGAACAGGAGCGCGACGACCTTTCCCCGCCCGAGGAGGAGTGCGGCGGCGGCAGCTCCCACACTAGTGGAGAGTCTGGGAGCGTCGGTACGTCGCGGACAGGGTCGCAGGCAGTAGAGATCCCGGGGGCCGGCGACCCTAACACAACGGCGAGCGAGGAGCCACGGGGCTGAGTTGTCCTCAACGGTGCCGCGATGCGAATGCAGACCTCGCGGAGCGTCTTGCAGGAGCCCAGACGCTCGTTGAAGCCGGCCCAGCGCTGGTAGTCGGGGTACTCCCCGGGCTCGAGGATGTACATGTAGCCCTTGAAGTCGGCTCTCTCGAACACCACCCAGGCGCCCGACTCCACGCGGATGGAGTTGCAGCGGCTCAGGAAGGGGCTCGTGTTGGTCGTCTCCTGGCTGCACTCGTAGCGGCGCCCCTGGAAGTTGCGTTCCTCGTAGAAGATAACCTGCATAGAGAGAGAGATACACACACGAGGAGCATAGCAGGTAACAACGTCGGCAACCCTGGCCGTCCAGGTTGGCGAGGGATGGCGCCCTGCGAGTTGCTCACTGCGCTACTGCCGGCGGAACGGCCTCCGCTGGGTGGGAGCTCTGTAGACAGCGGAGGAGGGGTGTGGGTGCAGTGAATTGTGTCGCGAATTCCGCGACGCAAGGTCACATTTACCACCTTCGGAAGGAACGGATAACAAACCCCACTGTTAAGGACTGTGCTGCGTCGCCACTGATCAACAGCACCGCAGTAAATAATAATTGTCTACTAATACTAAATCATTGTCTACTAATACGTTTATAGATGCCGCGCTTATTTTACTGGGATATCGAACCTGCTTATTTTATTATATTATTGTATTATTATATTATTGCGACATTTGACATTGCAAATGGGTGGGCATATTGTCCGAGCGAAAACATTTTACACGCATATATATTAAAAAATGTAAACATTCTTCGTTTCAATCGGAAATAAAGATTGGCAGTCGAGTAGTTGAAGCAAGGTTGCAAGGTTTCTCAAATCCCTCCACCGCCTCTGTCCACCCAGCAGCATACACGGTTTCACCACAGCCAACGGGAAGACCACGTGGTGGGGTAAAGTGTACACAATTTCTGCCCAGCGTGGAAGAGTAGACCAAACGACCATCTAGATGTGTGCTCTCTCAAACACCATCTAAGCGGAGGCTTTTCCGCCGGCAGTGGCGGAATCTACAAAACAACAAGTGTGAATGCACAGGTTATAATCTGTGGTGGGCGCGCGGCACGTTACCTTCCCCATGATGATGCTGATGTTGCTGCTGCTGTGGCCGCTGCCGATGTCCTTGTGCAGGCTGCTGGTGGTGACGAGGATAGCGATGTAGAACTGGAGGTACTCTTTATATACGCCCGGTAAACGCTTTGCGCAGGGGGGGAATTGGCCAAACAAATCCGTCGATGCGCGACTTTTATTGTCAATTTTAGCACAAATCAGCGGTATTGCAATTTACAACAGATAGGGAGATATTGCAATATATCCGACGAGCATTTCACACACACTGACAACATCGCGTTGCGTAATGGCTTACGGTGCCTGCTTATGTAAGCACAGTGTGATTAGCTTGGTGCACATTAACACGCCGCGTAGCGCAAACTTAAAACAAAACACCATAACGAGCAACGGAGAGCGAACACTGCACGTGTCAACAACGTTCTACGTTTCTGTTCAGTCAATCAGGTCGGGTTGATGCGACAGGCTTCAATGCCGTTCAGGAAATTTTATTTTGGGAAGTTTATTTTGCCCCCGATGTGCATGTCGCATTGTTTTTGCAGTTAATTGAATTTGGTGGTGGAAGTAAAACATCTTGAAAAGTATTCAAACAATCGTTTTAAAGTAATTACGTCGTCTAAAATCATTACAACAAAATCATTACGACGAATCGCACGTCACGATGTTCGGTCGTCGCTATTTTTGGAATTAACTAACTTGCCACACACACTGTGGAACCTTAAAACATATGTACGCGTAAACATATATATTCTGAATGTCACGCGTATGATTTGTGCATAAGTATGGAACAATACTGAGCACACGAACCTACGTTAAATCAATCATTGTATCCCTCAACCACTAGCATCATATCATCTGTGTGTTCACACACGCAGTGGATGTGTTGATATTCCTTCTGTCGATCCACTGCTGGATGAGTGTCTCCCCGCGTCACGTGGGTTCGTCGTGGAGAGTTTCTCATCATACTTCGGCAATCTTCAGTGCCGTGGCGAACGACGATGGCGATCACCTAGAATGCCAGGCCAACATTGGATTTTCTACTGCGCTTGCACCCGCTGCTGAAATATAACAACCCCACAGCGGCGCTCCCAAACACTTGTTTCTATACACAGCGGAATGCACCGGCATGCCGTGTGATGCCATCAGCTCGCACGAGCCACGCTGGGTAGGTTGTAGCCTTGCGGAGCTGCTACGCCTGTTCGGGCGGGGATCACCGGCGCACAAACACACGACACCAATTTGAGATCGGTGACACATCTGAACGGATAAACGTGACGCTTGAATGTGCTACGCACGTTGGTATGTTATTCGCATTTAACCGGTGAACAATTTCATGGCCCACCACAGCACCGCACGTGTTCAGAGGGAGCAGAGGCTCTCAGAGTGTTGGGCTCCGCGAATCTCCTCCACGTGGTCCGTCGGCGCTGCGATGCAAAACGCGCCACGGGTTGACCCTGGAAATGATGACAAACGCTTCTTACACATTTTTGGTTTCGGACGTTAATTCATGTTTCACCCCTAGATTTGAAGCTTTCGTGACTGCAAGGATCCATACTCTTTGGTTCTATGCGGTAAAGTCACGTAGGTAAAAGATAAAACAACAAAAAATCACGACGTTTCGGCCACAACACAAGCGGCCTTCATCAGGTGAAGGGACCAACCTGTCCAGTGGACAGCGTTGGAGTGAAGCAAGCCAAGCGCTGGTCGCCTCCTTTTAAGCTGTGAGGGGGTAAACGGCAAAGGCCTTGAAAAGGAAATTAGCATAAAACACGTCACTAACAACGCTTGGAATTAGCACAAGATGATAATACACCACCCTGGAAGTTTGGAGTGCCACTACTAGAATAAATATACTGTACCATTGGCATTACATTTTAACAAACAGTCAAGTCAAGTTCGGTAAACTACCATGATTAAACTACCATTACCCTAAGATCTAAATGCCCCCCCCCATATTTACGTCACTCGTCTTGATGCCTTGTAAAAGGTTTCCATTTGCTGTTTAGACATCTTGACACCACCTGGGTTTTTTGCCAGAAAGGGCTAAACCTATTCTTATTTTTCATCATTTTGGATACTGGGAAAAGGGACTCCATAGATATAACTGCTCGACCCGAGCTCTGATAGTGCATTGTCTTTGTACTGGTCTCGCCTTTTGGCTTTCTCTGGTCTGACACTGGTGAGACGAGGCCATAAAGAAGACTACTGTCTCTATTGTAGGCCAATCAGTCTCAAAGATAATTCACACGTTTTCAGAGCGAATTTGTGTGCACGTTTGCCACAAGTACGTGTGGTTAATGCAGCCTTGATGATGCCTTGAAAAAAGTTTATATTTGGTGTTTGAACATCTTAACGCCTCTTTTATTGCCAGGAAGGGTGAACAATCTTTTCTCATTCGTCACTCATCGTGTCAGTCCACGAAATGTTTAACATCTTCTTAACAAAAAAGCACAATGGCAACAACACATCTCAGAGTGTGTATTCGTATATTTACGGCACAGAAAGAGAAAGTCGGAGGGCAGTAGGAGAAGCGGGAGACTTTGAGTTATTGAGTTCTTGAAGAGTTCACAGCTCGGTTGGCCCCAGTGGATTTCCAGGCTGTGCGAGCAGCAGAGGAGAAGGAGAGAAGGACCCCTCGCCAAGCACTTGGCACCTCTGCAATGGCTTCACGGGTGTAAACATGTTGTTGTTGCCTATTTACGCCTTTCGTTCAGCAACAAAACAAAACATACGCACTCAATTGGGTAAACACCACATATCCGCATCGCTATAACATCAGCTGAACTATGTATGCGACCAATAAACTTTGAACGAGTGAACTACTGCGGATTGTCTGAGAAACAGAGCGCCTTCCTTCGTGAGAGCGCTGCGCGATCATATGAGCGTGAATTGCCGATCACTGATGAGTTAAGTCTATGATTTGAATACGAATATACATGTAGTTTTTGAACAGCATGGCTCTGTACGATGGCTCTGTGCACGTGTGAGCAGGGGTTGCGTGTGGAGTTAGCGGTCAGCGCTACAAACAGCTCCCAGTGGCTTCCTAATGCCTGCAACATCACATGTCTTAGCCACGGCCGGTGTGGGCTTGCTGCTGGTGACACGCGGGCTCTGCTGTAGAATGGTGGTGCCGTGGCAGGTGGGCAGCGCCTGTGACGGGAGGGCAGCGCCTGTGACGGGAGGGCAGCGCCTGTGACGGGAGGGCAGCGCCTGTGACGGGAGGGCAGAGGCCTCACAAGAGGATGGTTGAGGTCCCGCAATGAGCCATTTGGGCTACAGGCGGCGCTGCCTCGTCGGGCTGGGACAATTCACGGCAGTCGAGTGAACCAACTTGGCCGGTTTTGGGACGACTACACTTTGATAAACCAGTAGCAGTTTTCATCCAAGTTTCCCCCTCGTTTCGTTTGTGTTGTTTCTTACATTTATTTTTTTGGTCCGATTTTTAGACGCGTTGGTGACTTTAGCTCATTGTTTCCGTGCCCCGGTAGATTGTAGAGACTGCCAATGCGGTGGCGTTCCGTCCGTCGACAGGTCCCGAGGTACCGAATCTATCCTTTCTTTGCGTGCGAGTGACGCTCCTCATGTGTCTGTGCGTCATCCCTCGTTCCACGCCTGTCTGTTTGGAGCAAGTGTCTCTGCTTATTCCTTTCGCACGGCTCCACTTTGGAATTCCCCTCCCCCACAGTCTCTTTGGCCCAAGTTCTTACAATCTCGCTCGATTTTATTCACACTTCGTTCGTGCTGTTTGTTGCTGACCGCTTGGACACAAAAAGAGCCTGAAAAGATCCTGTATCAAACGATGAATTGATGCATCAAGAGTGGCAGGGTAGCAGTGTATGTATGTACGGTGCGAACAAAGTTCACAAAGTTCGCACCGTACGAAGCCAACCGTGCTTCTCGGAGGTGCGGTTTAAGGACAACAAACTAAACACAAAAATACGTTCTAAAGAAATTCGTTGGTGACACGCACAGCGAGAAGGACTTGGGTTCGATTCCTGACTAGGGTGTCCCTAGAAACCAAACGCCATATCTCGGACCGCATTCGTGAACATAAAGCAGACCTTAAACACGGTAGGACCAACACCTCGGCCGTAGCAGATCATTGTTCTAATTCAGTAGGCTCACATGCCATTGACTTTTCCAAGACGGAGGTTCTTTGTAAGCCATCTGGCTTCCATGAGAGATTCGTTCATGAGGCTATCCACATATACAAACACAGAGACAATTTCAACCGAGAAGATGGATTCTATCTTAGCAATCATTGGAAAGATTTGATAAATCATTTCAGTTCTTGATTGATTGTTCACGCTTACAGTGGCTTTCAGACAGCATACATAAAAACAAATTTCGTCTCCCCCCTCCTCTTTTCAAAAAATAGATGGACTAGTCCTGGCAAACTGCCAATCGTTGCGCGTGACGCAAACGTTATTTTTATATATATAAATAAATAAATATGCCGTTTTCAAAATAAATGTATGCAAACCGACACACCTGATGATGACCGTTTGAGTTATGGTCGAAACGTCGTGAGAATTTTTTATTGTTTTATATATATTTTGTTATTTTGTTGTTTCTCTTCAACGTGACTTTACCGAAAAAACTAAGAATATAAATAGGGTGTCCCTCTCTATTGAGTTTTGTGTGTTCTCCCCCCTGTTCTGCGTGAGTTCCCTGCGGGTTTCTGCAGTTTACACCCAGAGCTAAACGCGAGCACTCACTGCCGTTAGGCCAAGCATCTCGATGTAGGACCTCGCTGACACAGAGTCGTGGGACTCGGGATGGGTTTCCTCAGTCAATAAATCAAAATCAAGACGTCATCGTGGCCAAAACCTCTGATCTCACCACAACTCATCAACCACGAGGTAAATTTGTGGTAAACAAAACGTACCAATTAGTAACTACTTGAACCCACAATTCTAAATGTGGTGGGTTTACGTGACAAACCTTACTATTTGGCTGTGTCGGGTGGTGTCGGGTTTAAAGACACATGAATATTTACGCAATGAAAACCCCACAAAAACATATTATGGATACTATCGGTCGAGAAAACGTACGTGTTGAATAACAATAATTATTATTACTTTCACTGCACACCGACTGTCTTTGCCCCTGTAACTAACCCAAGGTCACCCTCGGAATTCTCACTCGGGGCCTGGACAGGGATTCTGGGAGTCGATTTCAGAGTTTTTTCTTGCCGTGGTGCTGACATCA